AGCCCCGGGATGAAACCAGGAGAGAGCCACATGCCAAGGGGAGTCATCCTCAGAGGCACAATGCGAGGAGGGGAGACGCTGATGCCACATATGCCCCATGGGGGACCTCAGCCAGGCCACTGCTCCAGGTCCACTTCCCTGCTGGCCGTCAGGAGGACAGGCTCCCCCAGTCCCCTCCCCTCTTCCTCCCTTAGAGGTCCAGCTCCTGGGGGCAAGGGCGGGCTGTGCTTCTGGACCCCAGGCCCACAGCTCCAACCCACTGGGTGGATGCAAGCAGGTGGGAAGTCTCTAGGGGAGGGTCTCCCCCATACTTGGTGACGCCTAGGGACAGCTGTGGTGGTCACAACTGGGGGCGCCCCAGACAAGGACCTGGTCCGATGTCCACGGCGCTGAGGGGAGAGACCCAGGTATAGAAAGCGTCCCCAACAGAAGCCCCCGCAGGCCCATTGGGGCAGCTTCAGGAGAACGGGGGCCCCCGCAGGCCCAGTGGGGCAGCTCCAGGAGAACAGGGAAGCCCCCGCAGGCCCAGTGGGGCAGCTTCAGGAGAACAGGGGGGTCCCCCGCAGGCCCATTGGGGCAGCTTCAGGAGAACAGGGGGGCCCCCGCAGGCCCAGTGGGGCAGCTTCAGGAGAACAGGGTGCCCGTGAGTGGGACCAGCAGGCCAGGGGAGGGTGGGCACTGACAAACAGCGCCAGGTGGGGACACCCTGGCCTCCGTGCTGCTGAGAACAGGGACAGAGGGAGGCGCCAGCAGGGCGGAGGAGCATGCCATGAGGGGTCCTGGGCCCACTGCCCCTTACCACCACCCCCCAGCCCTGCCCTGACGTCCTGGCTGGGTCACCCACCAGCCTGGCCCTGGGACCACAGTGAGTGCGGCCCCCCCGTGACGGGCACAGCCACAAATGCTCGCCATCTCAGGGGTACCTCTGGGACGAAGGCCCTGCAGCCCCGTCCGTCTGTCCCCGCGTGGAGATAAGAGCGGCTGGTGGTCTGCAGCAGAGGACACATTCTGCAGATCCACACAGAGCCCAGTGTCACCTCCCTCAGGAGAGCGGGGATGTCTGCATAACTGAGCGGTTACCTTTAAGCACGACTATTTCCAAGACTCTCAGAACACGGCCCAACGTGAAGTCACGACACGCGACAACGTGTGATAGCTATTTCTACCTTTCAAACAGCACCCGCCCACCCCGAGGCCACCTCGGATCCCTCCATGACCCGGGACCCTGTCGGGCGCCTGGCCTGCACCCAGGCCCCCACCTGCTGCTGGCGGGAGGGGCTCTGAGCCACGTGAGGACACTGGACAGCTCGTCCACTCTTCCAAGAACGTCCTGCTGGGCTCCCACTTCTGGACAGGGAGCTGCTGATGGGAGAGACGTCCAGCCCTGCAGGGTCAGGCAGAGCGAGCTGGGGTCCTCTCGTCCTTGTCCCCTGGGGTAGCTCCTGGGCACCTGCCCACCCCTAGCGAGGAGTCCTTGCCCCCGCCCTCACCGGGAACCCTCTCAGCCCACACACGCTCTGCAGGCTCCATCCCTGCCCAGCCGCCCTCTCTGAGAAGCAGTCCTCTGCGTCCACATGGTCCTTTCGGATTTGCAGAATCCCCTAAGAGCAGACTTTGCGAGGGCCCGTGCACCAGTGAACCAACTCCTGACACAGGCCGAACAGAGCCGGCAGGACCCAGACTGTTCCACACCAGGCGGCCACCAACCGTGGACACCGCCGAGCTCCCGGATGAGAGAAGAACCCCTTCTGGGGGCCAGGCTCGGAGCAGGGGGCTGCATGCTGCCCTCTGAGGGGAACTGGGAGGTGTTCTAGGAGAGGGAACCCCAGACAGGGCCAGGAGAGCAGCCGTGTGACAGCAGGACCATAGTCTGTTTACGTGCTCAGGGAGCCGCGTGGGAGTTCTGAGCAACGGGAAGACGTGCCGCTGACTACCACCCTCCCCGAGAGTCCCTCCAGCCCTCCCACGGACCCTCGCGAGGCAAGGGCCCAGTGCCGCACAGCCTGCACCAGGAGCCTGTGCGGAAGACCAGGCAGGAGCAAGATGCCAGGGCAAGGCCGACAGCCGGGGGGGGGGGGGGGACAGACAAGGGCTCACTGGCAGCAGGCGCCCACCCCCCTCTCTGGTCCATCGGGCCCGTGACCCCAAATCCTCCCACCACATCCCTCCTGCTGAGGCCAATTCCAGCTGGCACCCTGTTTACCTCCTCGCCAGAGTGGCTCGCTCGGGCCTCGACCTCCTCATCCGTACCACGGGGACAGGGGCCGCCCAGCACAGCCCCCAAAGCTCCTGATAGGGAGGGGCAGCGGCCCAAGGTTGGGGCTTCCAGACCCACCAGGCCCTGGCTCAGGCGCCCCTTCCCTGATGGGCCGCTAAGCCGAAAGACACTGCGCGCAAGAACGTCCCCGACCAGACAGGAAGGGCTCTCCAGGCACCCCCGCTGCCCAGCTCGAGACGGCAAGACCTCCGTCAGGACAGTGGCCACCAGGCCCAGGCCTGACCCCAGACGCTGGCCAGGACCCCATCAGCACGCAGGCTCCTTCACAACGGCCTCTCCTGCCCAGGGGTCAAACAATGACAGCCAACCGGCCCACGCAGACTGGCCCGTGCCCACCGGAGGCCTGAAGGCACCACTCCACCGGCACCGCGTGGCCGCCTCCCCTGCTCCCTCCCAGCCCAGCCTGAGAGGTCCCCATGGACCATGAGCTCCGCATACGAGAGCAGGTCCCCGGCCGCTCAGCCCTGGGTTTTCAGGGCCCAGAAAGTGTCCGACAAGACAGAGAGCTGACCCCACCACAACCCCAAGGGACCCGCTGCTCCTGAGCCGACCTGGGGCAGCTCACAGGGGCCCAGCAGGGACAGCCAAGCCAGCTGTGGGACTAGGCGTTCCTGGCGCCCCAGGGGAAACACCGCTGTGCAGCTGGCGGGGACACGGCCGCAGGGTGCCCAGGCCTGCCCCGAGAGCCTGCTCGGACCCACCGGGAAAAGCACAGGCACGCGGGCGGCCCAGCACTCCTCTTCACTGGCTGGTCGACCAAATTAATGGCTGGCGCCTGGCTTCCCCAAAGCTGGGATGAGCAGATAAGACGGCTTTCAATTTTTAACAAACCTCACCTACTTCCTCTCGCAGCCCAGAGGTAACTACTATGTAATTAAGAGGAGAAGTAGAGTCAGGCGGAACCAGAACCAGCCGTTCAAAGGAGGCTGTCCGCATGGGGTGCTGTCATCGCAGCACAGGGACATGCCCAGAGCCCGGCCACAAACCGCTCGGCCCCAATCTGCTTCAGCGAAGGGAGAGAGGGAATGGAAATCAGACAAGAAGGGCCGGCTGCCAACTGCGGACAGGAAAACCAGACCCGTGCCGGTGACCGCAGCGGACCCCAGGGCTCCCGCCCACAGCTGGGGTGGAGGGTCCAGCCAGCTCCTTCCAGTTCTCCGTCCCCACCCCCAGCACGGGCCACACCTCCACGTGCCGAATGCAGCAGACACAACTGCCCCCTAGCCTGCAACCTGGCGCTCTCTATGGGATCCCGGCCCAAACCCAGCACGCCCCCCCCCCCACCCCCCCGCCGCTGCGTTCCCCAAGGCAGGGCCACAGACACCACCACAGCGGCTGAACAAAACATCTGGGCCCCGGAGACGCCGGCGCCGGGCCGCGTGCACTCCCGGGGGCGCTGCAGCCAGCCCCCGCCCATCCGCCCATCTGTCCGCCTGCGGGGCCCAGAGCAGTGCTTTCTGGGGCACAATGTGGCGGAGACACAAGCAAACAACAAAAACAAACTACCAGCCACAACCGCAAACTTCCCTCTTTCAAACCTGCGGCCCGGCTCCCAGTCTCTCCACCCCCAGCGGCCACCCCCTCCCCGATGGGAACGAGCTCGCCGGCGCCCACCGGCTCCCCCTCGATGGCAGCCTCTGTGCGTTCCCACTCATCTCTCCCTCCCACGAGCTCCAGGAACCCCTGGGGGCCGGGAAACGCCAACTGAGCCTGTCCCTGTCCCCCGGGGTGGGGACAGAGGATCCAGGGACTGGAGCCCCACCAGATGCACACTCGGACACCCCCAGAGTCCCAGACAGTGGCCAGGCCTGGGTCCCCCATGCAAGGAAGTGGGGAGAAAAGGCTGGACTCCACCTCCGCGCACGCAAGCCTCCAGGGCCGTTTCCTGCAAACAATGCCATCCCGAGGCCAAGAGAATAACCCAGCTGGCCCCGCCGCGCCCGGGACGCCAGCCTGGGACATCACCAGGAGGCTCTCCCTTAGGCCCCCAGCCCCTCATGTGAAAGCTGCCCCCCCGGAAACGTGGGGCAGAGGGGGCAGGGAGGGGATCGGGGTGGCCGCGCCCGGGGCACAGACTCTCACCCCCTCCCTGATCCGAAGTGTTTCCGGAAAACAAAGCCGGTTGGCGAGGGCGGAAGGGGGAGGGGCAGGCAGGGGAGAGCCGCGAGTTCCCAGGCAGCACCGGCAACAGGTCCCCCCAGACGAGCCCCCTCCTGCTGCACGCCCCTTGCCCGCCCCGAGACCCCGGCTCTCCCAGCAAGGCCTTCAGGACCCCAGGGCGGGGGAGCGCGCGCGGCGGCGTGGGCAGGGGCGCGGGGACCAGGTGGGCAGGGGCGGGGATCCAGGGCCCAGGGCTGGAGGGGTGGGCACACGGGGAGTGGGCAGTGGGCCTGGGCACCGGGGGCAGTGAAGGCGGAGGTGGGGCGGGGCTGAGGGGACAGCGGGAGCAGCGGGGTCTAACCTGGGGGGACAGGGAGGCTGCCGCGTGGGGATCAGAAGGGGCGAGAGGCGGCAGGGTCTAAGTCTGGGGGTCGCTGGGGGCGGGCAAGGCCTGGAGAGCAGACGGGGGAGAGTGAGGGGCTGGGGTCTAGGCGGGGGGTCCGTGGGCTGTAGGGGCTACGGGGTTGGAGAGTGGGGGTCACTGGGGGTCGCGAGCGCAGGGTCCGCGGGGGCGGTTTCCGGGGAGGGGGTCCGCGGGATCGGGAGCCGGGCGCGCCGTTACCTCTCGGCCTCCGCCGTGGCCGTGGCCGCGGCCCCGCGGGCGGCGGCCGGCCGGGCTGGGCGGCCCGGGCTCCCTCAGCAGCGCTGCGCCGACCCCCGCCGCGGGCCCCGCTCGCGCTCCGGTTCGGGCTCCGGCGCCCGCTCGGGCCCCCGCTGCCGCGCCGCCGCCGCCGCCGGCCTCCGCATGTTGGGCGCGGGCCGTCCCCGCCACGCGGGCGCCCGGTCCCCGGTCTCGCAGCGTCGCCCGCGACCCGCGCTTACGCCGCCAGCGTCGCGGGGGAGGGCCCGGCACCCACCGCGCAGCCGCCGGACGCCGCGGGGCGCGCTGACGTCACAGCGCGGGGCGGGGCCCGGCGGCGCGCCCGCAGCTTTGCGGCAGCCGGGGGCGCCGCGCGACGGCCGCCGCGCTTTGCGGCCGCCCGGTAGAGGGACGACCGGGCCGCCGCCTGCCGCGGGCCACCGGAGGCCCGCGGGCGCGGGGGTGCGCGCGCGGGCGGGGAAGTCGCGGGGTCGCGTCCACCTTCCCGGAGGGGCGGGGCTCCCGCCGCTTGCCCGGGCCCGCCCGTCGTTGCCATGGCGACGCGTGGCGGGTCGCCCCGGCGGTGCCCGGCCGCGCTTCTGTGGCGTCACGGTCTCGCCACCTGACGTCACGGCCGGGCGGCGCCGCGGGGCGTGGTCAGCGCGGGGACAGGCCGACTTCCGGGGCGGGCTGGGTGGGGCCGGGCGGGGAGCGGACTCCAGCGGGGCGGGCGGGCAGTGTCCTAACACGTGGTGACGTAAGCGGGAGCGGAGGCGGGGTCAGCACGGCCCGAGTCCGACGGGGTCACCCGAGGCGGCTGGTCCGCTGTGCTGTCCGGCCTTGCGCCGGGCCCGGGCCTCCACGAGTCTGCAGCGTGCTGGCTCACGCGACGTCAGTCCACCGCCGGCCGGGAGGGAGCGTGGGGAGGGGGTGATGCGCAGGGCCCCCCGCACGCCCCCCGCGGTCCCGGGGGCATCTTCACGTGGGAGGAGCCCCGTCCACTCGGGTATTTAATTAAGTGCCTGCCAATGGCGCAGGGAGTCGAGCCGCGGGGAGCTGGACCGCTGGCCTCGCTTCTGGGGGAGTCAGGACAGTAAAGCAGTGGACACGATGCTTTCAGGTGTTCTAAGGTGGCGTCGGGCAGAGTGACCCAGGGCCGGACCCTAAAGGCTAAAAGCTGGATGTGATCAGACGGGAGGGAGATCGGGGGTCTGTGGTTATTGTCCTGCTGTCTCGTAGTCGGATGGGATGCTAAGAAAAATGGGAGAGGAGAATGCAGCTGGAGTGGGACGGCGGGATGGCACCGGTTGCGGCGCCCACTTGCAATGTCACCGCCTCCAGGGCGCCCAAGTCCCCCCCACCCCTCCTGTTGTCCTTCCTCACTGCCTCCTGATCTTTTCCAACCCGAGCCTTACTATAAAGGAGTGGGCTGTTTAAAACCGGCCACGCCAGGCCAGGGGCTGCGTCTGCTTTGCTCGCTGCTGTGCCTGTGCGCACAGTAGGCACTCAGTCTGCAGGTGGTCACCCTGTGTGGCGAATGAACAAGCGAAAGAAGGAAGGAAGGAACAAACTCCATGGTCCTCCCAGATTCCGGAAACTCGAGTGTTTTTATTTTCTCAAAATTCCCGGCCCTGTCTCTTCTCTCTCACTCTTGATGTTCAGGAAAATCTGCGCTCAGGCGCTCAGCTCCCAGAGGTCAGGGGTCAGGGGGCATGGTGGCCTCTCCTCCAGGGGTATTTGAGCCTTAAACCTGAGCTCCAGCCTTACCCCTGTAAAGGCAGGCTTGTGCAGCTGAAAGCATGCAGAAAGTGAGGCCAAGGCTGAGATTGTGCCAGCGAGAAGCTGTGTGACTATGGGTAGGTCACTGACTCTCTCTGGTCCCCTGCGTCTTCATCTGTAAGTTAGGGCTCACGATAGCCCGTTTGGGTATATCCTAGGATCCCATGAGATAATGAATAAAGAACTGCCAGCAAAGGGCCTTCTGCCTCAAACGAACGTATTTCTCTCTAATCACTGGAATCTTTGAAAAAGCAAATGGCCTTTTGTGCTTCCTCATTTCTAACGCACTTCAAATGTGGTCCACACGTTCCTGCTTCCTTTTTGGCTTTGATCTTGTGGACGCCATTTGGGAAAGCTAGGGTAGGAACAGAGCTTTTGGGGCTCTCCATAGAATAATAAGAACATTGTAAGGAGGGTGAGCTGGTCTCTTCATGGCCCACACGCCCCCCCCACCCCCCCCAGAAAGTCAAACAATATCCCGCCTCCCAATAAAACCCAGACAGCTGTGGGGTCGGGGGACAAGACGGGCAGGAAGCACCCCTTGCATTCCTTTATCCTGATAAGAGGCAGGTCCGTCTGCGTCCCCCTCCTTGGAGGGACCCCAGGACAGGCTCAGGGCTGCGTCCTGCTGTCCGGCGCCAGCCCACAGGCAAAGCAGGTGGCCTGGTTCACTTTTGTCACATTGAATCAGCGCTCCCCGCAGCCAGGCCTCTCCTCCCAGGGAGCAAGGACGTGGATGTGCACATCCTCATTTTCGAGACATGGAAACGGAGGTTCAAAGAGGCGAATGGACTTGCCCGCTGTCCCCTGGCTTCGAACCTCCAATGCTGCTGCCCTGCCCCGGGGGGGGGGGGTAGCGCCAGCCCCCACTGTTGTGAGGGTGGGCCCGGCACCCCCACCTCAGCCACAGTGGCTGCAGCAGAAGAGGGTGCTCAACCGAAGGCGAGGCCTGGCGCCATATGCTCATGAGTGATCGGAACAAGTCAAAGTTCTCTCTCTTTGGATGTTGTGTGCTACGGAGGGGAAACTGAGGCCAGAAGTCTCATGAGAGACGTGGTGAAGGGCAGCCATGAAGAAACAGGCCTCAAGGGTGCAGAAGCTCCTGGGGTGAACTCTCCCCCTCAGGGGGCTCCCCATCCTAGAGAACAGCCCCCAGCAACCAGGTCTGTACCATGTGACCTCCCGGCCTTCTCTGATTGGCCCAGAGTGAGCCAATCAGATTCTCCTCTGGGATGGCTAAGCAGGAGGCAGCCAGGGTACCACCATGTGAAATGTGACCTAGCTAGTGTCCTGCCATTGTGTGCCTTCTCGGGCATCCCTTCCCACAGCATAGGATGACCAAGCTTCCCAGTTTCCCCAGGTCTCCTGGGACCTGGGACTTTCAGTGCTAAAACCACGGAAATCCCTGCAAACCAGGATGGCTTTGTCCCCTGAGCGTGGGGCATGCAGGGTCCTATCTGTCACCAAGGAGCCATGACAAAGAGCTGCTGCTTCACCCTGCTCCCGGGAGGCCAACGCCTGGGCAAGGGAGAGGGTCAAATAGTGTCCCCACAAAAATTCACGTCCACCTGGGACCTCGGAATTTGGCCTCATTTGGAAATAGGATCTTTGCAGATGTAATTAGTTAGGTTCAGATGAGGTCACATTGGAGTAGGGTAGGCCCTAGATCCAGTGACTGGTGTCCTTATAAGAAGACAGGGGCTGGCCCAGTCGCGCAGCGGTTAAGTTTGCATGTTCCGCTTCTCAGCGGCCCAGGGTTTGCCGGTTCGGATCCCGGGTGCGGACACGGCACCGCTCAGCAGGCCATGCTGTGGTAGGCATCCCACATATGGGGTGGAGTAGGATGGGCACGGATGTTGGCTCGGGGCCGGGCTTCCTCAGCAAAAGGAGGAGGACTGGCAGTAGTTAGCTCAGGGCTAATCTTCCTCAAAAAATAAAAAATATGAAAAAAGTAAGAAGACACAGAGACACAGAGAAGACGGCCACATGACGGCAGAGGCAGAAGCTGGGGTGATGTGGCCACAAGCCAAGGACGCCTGGAGCCCCCAGAAGCTGGGAGAGGCAGGAAGGACCCTCCCCCGGAACCTCCGGAGGGAACGCGGCCCTGCCACACCCTGACCTTGGATGTCTGGCCTCCAGAACGTCAGAGGATAAATTGCTGCCTGGAGCCGCCCAGCTTGTGGTCCTTTGTCACGGCAGCCCCCGGAGACTCCTACAGATACAGACCCAGATTTGGCCACTGTTATGGGTTGAATCGTGGTCCCCAAAAAGATATGCTGAAGTCCTGGCCCCCATTCCTGTGAATGGGACCTCATTTGGAAGTAGCATCTTTGCAGATGTAACTAAGTTAGAATGAGGTCATCCCAGAGAGGGGTGGCCCTCAGCCAACGGCTGGTGTCCTTAGAAGATGAGGGAAGTTTGGACACAGACACACAGGGAGACGGCCGTGCGAAGACAGACAGATGGGAGCGATGCTTCTCCAAGACAAGGGTCGCGGAGGATCGCCGGAACCACCGGAAGCTGGGAGAGACCCGGGACAGCCTCTCCCTCGGAAGGATCCAACTCCGCCGACCCCTTGATTTCGGACTTCCGGCCTCCAGAACTGGGAGGAAATAAGTTGTTTTCAGCAACCCCATTTGTGGTTCTGTGTCACGGGGGTCCCAGGAGACTAACACAGCCGCTGAACGGTCCCCTTTGGGATGTGGGATCTGGAGGGTGAGATGGAAAGAGGAGCCAGCTCACAGCGGCTCACGCCAGGGCCAGGCCAAGGGTCCTGCCCTCCCGCCCTCTCTCTTTGCTAGAATGTTCCACCTCCCATCTCTTGGTCCTCCCGGCCACCTTCGTTCCTGGTCGGGGTCCGATTCAGGGTCCCCAGTCACCCACCCATCAATTCCATGGGCGTCTAAGTTCCCATTAATAAATTGACTCTGAGAAATAAATTCCAGCACATTCCTGGCCGCCTGGCCGCCGTTGAAACATCGGAGTTTGTTTCTGGGGCTGAGGCGAGGTGCCTGGCTGACGTGATGGGGGAGCGGAAGCCACCAGGTGGAGGGGAGAGATTCTGAGTCGTGGGGGAAGGAGTCGGTGGTGGTCCTTGGAGTCCTAGGAGCAGAGATAATGACTGACCGGGCGACAAGACAACCCATCTGTGTGAGTTTCCCCGGGTGGTCGCAACAAAGTACCACACACGGGGCGGCTCCAACAACAGCCGTTCATCGTCTCCCGGATCTGGAGGCCGGGAGTCCCGGATCTGGGTGTCGACAGGGCTGGGTCCTTCTGAAAATGAGTCTGCTCCACATCTCTCCCAGCTTCTGGGGCCGCTGGCCGTCCTTGGCGTCCCGCCTCCCCGTCTCCGCCTCCATCTTCATGTGGCGTCCTCCCTCTGTGTGTGTGTCTGTGTCCAAATGTCCTCTTTTTTCTTTTTTATTTTTGAGGAAGATTAGCCCTGAGCTAACATCTGCTGCCAATCCTCCTCTTTTTGCTGAGGAAGACTGGCCCTGAGCTCACATCCGTGCCCATCTTCCTCTACTTTATACGTGGGACGCCTGCCACAGCATGGCTTGCCAAATGGTGCCATGTCCGCACCCGGGATCCGAACCAGCGAACCCCAGGCTGCCACAGTGGAACGTGTGCACTTAACCGCTGTGCCACCGGGCCGGCCCCCAAATGTCCTCTTTTTATAAGGACACCAGTCTTATTGCATTAGGGCTACCCTGCTCCAGCATGGCCTCACTTTAAATAATTACTCCTGTCAAGACCCTATTTCCAAATAAGGTCACATTCTGAGGGGCTGGGGTCTAGGACTTCAGCATAGGAATGGCGGGGGGCATAATTCAACTCATAGCAAAGCACAAACACACATGTACGCACCTCGAACACACAGGCACCTACAGGTGCACACGGACATGCACACAAACCAGTGCCCCCCCGCCCCGCCACCTGAGGGCAGGGTCAGGGCCCCCAGCCCCCAGCCGGGTTGCCAAGAGTTGTAGGATAAATGCCCCAGCTCCCCAGCTGTGGACGGACAAGCTGAGACAGAGCCTCAGTCCCTCCCAGGGGGTCCCAAGGGACTGAGCCCCGACGGCCGCAGCCATGGGAGGCTCATCACTGCCCCCCTCCTGGCCTCTGCCCTCCCGCCTCCCAGAGAAACCTTTTGCCCTGGACCTTGGTCTTGGGATCAAAGCATCATGTTGCAGCGGAGTGAATGCAGCAGCTGACAGGAGAATCCAGCTGTCTCCCATGAAGCCAGATGTTAAACAGATTTGCTAAATGAGAACAATGCCACTCATCCCTTTTTTGAAAAAAAAAACAAAGATTTTTTAATGTTAAAATGTAACTTTTTTTTTTTTTTTTTTTGGTGAGGAAGATTGGCCGTGAGCTAACATCTGTGCCAACCTTCCTCTATTTTATGTGGGATGCCTGCCACGGCATGGCTTGATGAGCAGTGCATCCACAGGGGATCCAAACCGGCAAACCCCGGGCCACTGAGGCAGAGCGAGCGAACCTAACCACTGTGCCACCAGGCCAGCCCCAAAATGTAATGAATTTTTAAAAAATGACATTATCAAATGTTTTAAAGTTTTCTGTCTCAAACCCTAAAAATTAGTGTTTCACTCGGGGAGGCAGGAAGGACCCTCCCCTAGAGCCGTCAGAGGGAACACGGCGCTGCGGACACACTCACCTCACACGTGTGGCTCCAGGATGTGAGCCCCCAGCCTGTGGGTCTCCGTGGTGGCCGCCCCGGAGCCTGGTCCACACCCGTCACTCACGTCGTGGCCTTCCCCCCCGCCCCCCGCCCCGGCCCCGGCCCTGGGGGGCGGTCTCTGTGTCTGCACTGCTGGAGGCAGGGCATCTACGAGTGAATTTTCCTTCCCATGCTCACGAGCTTCCTGCGAGAAAGGAGGTCCGGGGTAAACCCCATCAATCAGACGTCATCCTGATCGATCGCTAATTCTCTCCACAGCGAGGTGAAATCGCTGCCAGTTGCCTTCACGTGCCTGCTCCCGGAAATGCCTTCCATCAGGATCGATGCTTTTCTGTGTAACGAGTACTCCAGCCCTCGATCAGACTTAAACAAAACCAAACCCTGTGTTCATTTTTCTAATTCAGTTGCTGCTCTATCATTTCCACAAACGACGATTTTGCCAGGTCAGATCTCGCAGGTAAGGCAGGGGGGTCTCACCCGGGGTGAACCTGCCCCCCGGGGACACTGGGTGATGTGTGGGGACATCTGTGGTTGTCACACTGAGGGTGCTCCTGGCATCGAGCGGGTGGGGCCAGGGATGTTGCTCAACCCCCCACAGCACCCAGGACGTCACCCCAGAGAATGACCCGGCCCCAATGACGCCAGCGCCGAGGGGGACAGACCCGGAGCTAAAGGCAGGCTCACAGGAAACAGACAAGTAGCCACAAATGACTTGTGGCAGGACCCTCCTCGTCCACCGGCTTCCTCTCACTAGAGGTGAGCTGTCCCTGCTCCTGGCCGAGATGAGTGCCTCTCTTCTGGTCCCACTGAGTCCTCTCAGCCCACACTGTCCCCTACAGGGAACCTCCCCAGGGGCCCCCAAGTCCCCTCCCCATATCCTCACCTGAGGTCCCCCTGCACCCATTGCACCATGAACACAGCTCTCATCCCAGCCCAGGGACGCCGTCCCCCACGGTCACACCCCTCGGTGCAGCCTCGGCAGGGCCTGGCTGGCGGCCGCTCCCGCCCTGGGCTGCCTTCTGCTTTCCCTCCCACTCCAAGGCCCATGGTCCCCCCCCGCAGGGGCTGAGCAGTGGCCCCCAGCGACGTGTCCATGTCCCAGAACCGGTGACCTTACTTGGAACCAGGGTCTTTGCTGATGTAATCAAGGATCTTGAAAAGAGATCATCCTGGATTAGGGTGGGCCCCAAATCCAGTGATGGTGTCCTCTCGAGAGACAGCAAGCAGAGGTAGACACAGAAAGAGAAGGCGTGTGAGGACGGAGGCAGAGACCGGAGGGACGCGGCCACAAGCCCAGGGACGCCTGGGACCTCCAGAAGCTGGGAGAGGCAGGAAGGACCCTCCCCTGGAGCCTCTGGAGGGAGCACAGCCCTGAGACACCCTGATCTGGGACTTCCGGTTTCCAGAACTGGGAGAATAAATCCGTGTAGTTTAAGCCCTGGGGTCTGTGGTCCCATCACGGCCGCCCCAGCGAACGGCCCCTTCTCAACTTCGTCCCTGGTGGCCCTCAACCCGACCCCCGTCCTGCGTCCTTGCATGTCACCTTTGAGCCAACGACACGCCGATCCTTTCTGCAGGCCTGCGTGTCCCTCTCCTGGGCGGTCACCGGCCCCACCTCCCCGCCCGCCGGCTCCCTGTTCCTCCGGGCCCGCGTTCCGCAGCACCGCGCTCTCAGTTGAGTCTCCTGTTTCCTCCTTTCTGACCTTCGCTGCCCCTCTCCGGGGGCTGTCGCATGCTATCCCGGCTCTGGGGGCTGCTGGCATCTTCGGCGTTCCTTGGCTTATAGACACGTCATCCCATCTCTGCCTCCGTCTCCACGTGGGGTCCTCTCTGTGCGTGTCTCTGTCCAGGTGTCCCTTCTATAAGGACACCAGTCATACTGGGCCAGGGGCCACCTTCAAGCTCTCATCCTGACTGTTGACGACTACGACGGCCCTATATCCAAATGAGGCCCCTCCTGAGGTCCTGGGGGCAGCCTTCCACGCATGAATTCGGGGGAACACAGTTCCACCCCCGCCGTTTGCTTGGCACTGTCTGTCCAGTTTCTCTGTGGGTCTTAGTTTCCTTCCACTCTGTGGGAGCCAAGTGTCCTGTGGGAAGACAGACGCCTGCCCTCCCTCCCACGTACACGTAGGGCGTCCACTCTCTGCCACCAACAGGCCCCCACCATGCGCCCCGGGAGGGGCCCCTCCGGCTGGGCCTCTGTAAGGCCTGGCCGGTTCTACTCCAGCTATTTCTACCACGACTGTGCCTTTATGGCAAGCGACACTGGCTTCTCATTTTCTGTGAATTCCATTTTTCAAATGAAAACCGTTGAGCATGAAGAAAATGGGTTGATGTAAAAAAAAAACAAGGAGACCTTCACATGGAGTTCTCTGTGTGCACCTCTGTCCAATGTCCCTTCGGTACGGGACCACCAGGGACAGGGGTGGCATGTGGCCACGGCGTGAGGGTGAGGCTGCCAGGGGTGGGGGGTGGTGTTGGTGGAGCCGGGCTCCCTCCTCAGGGCCCAGAGAGGTTCAGGTGCCCCGTCGGGGCTGGGTCCACAGGTGAGACCTACTGCAGGGTGTCTGGGGTGTCACCCTCGATGACAGGCCCTGCGGCCAGGTGCACAGGCTGGTCCTGGTTTATCCTGCTGGAGGCCGAGTGCTGGGACCCTATGTTGGGAGGAAGGCCCGGGCGGGGACAGACAGACAGACACACACACACACGTGCCACAAACAGCCCCCTGGGAGGGAGGCTGGCTCAGATGCAGAAAGAACGTATTTATTTCCAGGATACTTTCTGATAACAAAAACCACCTCAACGTATTAACAAAGGTGCCAAGGACAGTGGGGGCGCGGGGGAGGGGGGAGCCGTGGTGAATCCATGCGTCTTCCTCCGACATGGGGTGACCACTCGCTGACCACCTGGCCAACGGGCTGTGTCACCATCAGCGTTAGGGTCATGACGAGATTCGGCCCCACGGTGAGCACCTCTCCATGCGAGAGGCCAGCTCGGGGACGTTAGGGGCACCAGGAGACCCGGGGCTGGGTTTCCATCCAGGAGGCCTCGTCCACTGGGGACCTGGATGCAGCCACTTCCTCCAGGGACCATGGCACAAACAGCTCAAGCAAGCAAGCGCAGGCCCGGGGAACAGCGTGGCCCTCCGGCCGGGGGCTTCTAGAAGCAGGCGTCCCGGGGAAGCAGCCGAGGGGCAGTGCTGGGGAGGGAGGGGCACCCGGCAGCCTGAGGCCACCAGGAGGCCTCCTGTGGTCCATCCATTCACAAAGCGGCTGCAGATGCCCCGGGACACTGGGTTCCTTCGTCTGGAAGAAGCCAGCAGAAGGGGAAGGGAGCAAGCACGGCGAGGCTGCTCAGATTCCTCGATAAGGCACAGAGGTGGGTCGCCGTCTCCTCCCAGGGCTGCCCTCCTGAGAAACTGCACGCCCCGCCTCCCGCGGATCCAGAACAGGGCCGGCCCAGGGCAGGCGTGACCTCAAGAGCCGCCCGCTCTCCTCTGCGCCTGCACGGGGCGGGGTGCCGGTGGGGCCTCTCTCCCTTAGCCTCCCCGGGCGTGGACTTCTAACCATTACAGGGAAAAGGCGTCTCGGGATGCGAGTGACCGTGGGCAGGAGGTGGGAGGCAGGCCGGCCCCCACAGCAGCCGAGCAGCCCGGGGCGGAGGGACTGGGATGGACGGACAGACAAACGGGGGCGGGGGCAGCGCTCAGATCGTGGAGGCGACGGATCTGCCTCTGGCCGTCCCGAGGGCTCAGCCGGTGGGCCCTCCCGCAGCAGGCGGTGGGGGACTCAGGAGGACAAAAGTCCGAGGAGCTGCTGTGCCTCAAGTCCCCTGTCGCCCGAGGGGCCCAGCAACCTGGCGCCGAGGCTCCCTCGTCCTGGCACGGGGCGAGCGCCCTGACGAGGGGGCCGCGGTGGGCCCTCTGAGACCGCACGGGGAGTGTGAGGCCGCCGCGGTTCTGGGGCGAGCGCGGTGGGGCGAGGAGAGCGTCCTTGTGCCAGCAGGGCAGGGAGAGGAACGCGGGGCAGCCTGCTGGGAGCCCTCCTGCCGTCCCAGCTCGGGGAGGGGCTGAGCTGCGGCCCGGGAGGGACGGGTACAGGCTCCAGGGCTCAGGGGCCCCAGGGCAGCAGCGGGAGTGGAGGGGGAGGCAGGCCGGCTGGCTCGCTCTAGGGCCACTGGCCGCCACCGGCCGGGTAGCTGGGCACCGTGGGGTACTCGGGCAGGCTGTTCCCGGAGAAGTTGTTGTACTGGGCCTCCCGAGATGGCGGGTTCCGCCAAGCACCTGTGCTCCACTCCGTCTGCGCCTTCTGGAAGCTTCCGCCAGCCCCTCGATAGATCCTGTGCACCTGCAGGGGGGGAGGGCAGGGAAGCAGAGAAGTCAGCAAGGGTCTGCGGGACGAGGAGACCCATTCGTGCTGCAGGTGACGCTTTCCTTAAACGGATCACAAAAGTAACAGAATGGTCTTTGTGGAAACTTTAGAAAACACATAGACACCGGGATCGGGGACTTGGGCCACGGTCGCCTCTCAGAGTTGATCTCAGCTGCCCCTGCCTGGCACACCCTCAGCCACGAGCATTTCTGTCCTGCGGGCAGCCTGGGGCGTGTCTCCTCAGGGACCGCCCCCGCCTGACACCCACCGCCTCGCGGGGCGGCGCCTGGTGGCAGAAACGCACAAAAAACTCAGGTAATGATTCCTCGACGGCCTTGTGACGCGGGCGCGTCAGGCCTGGACCCTGTCCGTCACAACAGCCATCTCTAGGCAGATGCTTATTTCCCCCACAGCCCCCAGGGACAGACCACCGACTCCTCACTGTCCAGAAAAGCTGCGCCCCTAGGGGCACCGGGCTGCGCTATTTCTGGAAAATGGCAAATTCAGGAACCAAGACAATGGCCTTTCCACTCGAGGCTCCTGACGTCGGTCAGGCTGCGCGGTGGTTGCGTCCCGCTGGACCTGTCTTCTCTGCAACCCCCCTGCCAGCGACCCGCCAAGCCTGCAGTGCCCCTGGGGACCCCGTCCGGTGGCCTGTCTGTCTCCCTCTCATGCTGAGCGGAAGACCCTGCTGGACACGGGCGGCTCCCTGTGGAGCGCGTCCCGGAGTCTCGCCGAGACCACCCGGCCAGGGCTCTAGAGATGTTCACGGTTTCTGCTCGTTTCTCCCTTTTCCTCCCTGCAGGTCGTCCAGACGGCTGGAGGGATTTGGGGCGCTGAGCACTCCTCTGTCCTCCCAGACAGCCAAGGGCACGGGGTCAACAGCCCAGACTGCAATGCTGCTGCAGCCATGAGGGCGCGTGGCAAGGAGGCTGGAAGGGACTTAAAACTTTCCTTTGTTTTTTGGCGAGGAAGACTGTCCCTGAGCTGACATCTGCATCAATCTTCCTGTTTTGTATGTGGGACGCTGGCACAGTACGGCTTGATGAGTGGTGCTAGGTCCACGTCCAGGATCAGAACCCACGAACCTTGGGCCGCCAAAGTGGGTCACACGAACTTAACCACTGTGCCACCGGGCCGGCCCCTCAAAACCAGTTTTTAAATGTCGCTGGCAATCCTGTCGCCCGGCGCAGGGCTGGCTTCTGGAGCAGCGCCCCTGCACACAGTGGGCGGCCAGCCGGGACGGCACCTCTGGGAAGGCTGGGCAGACACACCGTGGGCCTTGCGGCCCGTTGGGTCTCACACCCTGGTGCGGCCGATGCCTCCGAGGCTACAGTGCGCACGTCTCCTGCAGGGAGGCTCCAAACAACTGGAGCACCGGCAATGGGGGAGACGGTCGGCCCTGAGCACTCGCAATGAGGCAGCGCAAGTGGAGACGCTGAAGTTTTAGTTTCACTTAATTTTACTCCATTTGAATCTAACTGTAAATGGGAACGCGCGGCTGGTGGTGGCTGAATCAGGCGGCGTGGGCTACACCTGGGCACACGTGTGTGCCGGGGCTCCAGCAGACAGAGCCCCCAGAGGCAGACATGTCGTCGGCCCATGCTCTGCCGCTTCCCCAGGCCTCCCTCACTGCCAGGTAGCGGTGGGCGGGGCAGGCAGGGTCCCCGCCTGAGCAGTCGAGGGTGCGGACCACGGAGGGTCCCCTTGCTTCCTTGACACTCAGGCTCTTGCTGCTGACAGAGAAACAAGACGAGCCCTCGAGGCTGGGGGGCACATGGACAGGAAGCATGGGAAGAAGCTGGACATCCCGGGACCCAGAGGACTTACCTTCATGATCACGACGGCCATCAGGGCAGCTGACATGGAGAACATGATGGCTGGAAGCAGCATAACCACAGCAGCCCCAACATTGGTCTGGAAGAACCCGATTGCTGCCAGCCAACCACTGCAAGGGGCAAGAGAGAGCGTGGGTGCTAGCAGGTCTGCCAGAGCAGGGTGCACGATCCTTCCTATGTAAAGAGCTCCAACAAACCAACAAGAAAGATAAACTAGCAGAGAGATGGCCAATTTGTACGAGGAGTACCAGGAGGCCAGTAAACAGGAGAAACGACGTTTAAACCCACCAATGAAGACACACATCAGAATGTCATTCTTCCGCCATCGAACCGGCAAACTTGGTGTGTGTGAGGGAAGGATGTGGACACTGCCCTGTCAGCAGGAGTGTGTGGCCTTTACCCCAACTATTCAACTTCTAAGAATTTAGCCACAGTAATTATTTGTAATAATGAGAAGCTGGGAGGAAGCTAAACATTCACCGGCTGGGACAGCACAAACATGAATCATGCTACAGCCGCACGTCGGAATACCCAGGAGATGCTAAAACATAAGAGAGAAGAAAGAAAGCGGAAGACCAGCCAGGAGCAGCAAGAGCCCATGAAACCTGCGACGTCATCAGTCCGTACACAGAACATCCATCTCGTTACCCGTTCTCGCCTCTGGGAACGGGCAGACAGGAAACACGGAATTGTTGAGAACACTTTTTCTTAACGAGTCATAAAACCACACGGTTTGAGATCCAGGAAACTCAAAAGAATATACAATGAATGGCCTCCCTCCCGCCAGCACCCCTCCCCAGCCCAGAGGGAATGAACGCAATCCTTCTGCCACGTCTCCTTCCAGAAAGTGTTTATAAACACGTGCGTGTGGTACACACCTGCACACGAGAACACAGTACTCGCTCTGTGAAATGAGGGGCAACACTCCGCGCACAGTGCTCTGCGCCGTGAGGGGTGAGAAAGGCCAGTGGCCGAGGGCTCAGTGGACGCTGGGCAGGACGGACGGGCAGCTGGGGCCGGGCCAGGTGGGGCGGCTGGAGCAGAGGTGCTGGGTCTGCCAGGGGCATCCTCTGGGGATCAGTATCTCCCACAGGATCGGGGCCCTGGAAAAGGGGCTGGGCAGGTGGGGGGCCAGCCCGAGGAGCGGAGTCTCTGGGGAGGGAGGACGCACCCCCAGTGGGAATGTAAACGGGAGAAGGCTCCACGGGGGCACCAGCCTCCCAGACATGCCCAGGAGCCAACTGGCGGCCGGCCGCTCCCAGGAGAACAATCTCAGTTACAACCCAGGATGACGCCACTCAGGAACAGCAGGGGACACAGTGGCCTTGCTCGGCTCCAGGCAAGGGAAGAGCCTCCGCATCCCATCCGCACCCGGCAGAGGCCACGGAGAGTGGCGGGGGGCAGCAGGCGGCCGCAGAGAGGCCTGCAGACAGGGGCAGGAGGCAGGCAGGGGACAAGGGGCGCCAGGTGCTCCCCTGAGGCCGCTCGGCCAGGAACTTGAACCAGGGACAGGGGACAGAACATGCAAGGATGGCACAGGGACGCAGCCTGCAGAACCTGTGGGGGCGGCTGCAGCTCCTCAGGTTAAAATCGTCACCAGGTCACCCAGCCATTCACTCCGGGGGGGACACTCGAGAGACATGAAAACACACGTCCACAAGGAAACTTACAGAAACTTCAGAGCTGCACTCACGACAGCCAGAGTGGACACGACCCCAGCGCCCATCGACGGCTGATGGACACACGTGTCCCCCACACGCTGGAGCACGACGCGGCCGTGAAGAGGAGCGAGGCCCGGACACGGCTGCACGTGGATGGACCCAAACACACGACGCTCAGGGAGAGACGCAGACACAGAAGGACACACAGCGTGTGACCCCATGGACGGGAAACGTCCAGAACAGGCAGATCCACAGACAGAGAGTGGGCTCATGGGGGCTGGGGGCTGGGGAGGGGTGGGGGGTGATGCTGATGGGGACGGGGCTGCTTTTTGGGGTGATGGAATGTTCTGGAATGAGACAGTGGTGCTGGTTGCACAAGCTTGTGAATGCACTGAAAGCAGTGAACTGTACACTCGTTAAAAAGGTGGCCTTCAGGCCCGTGAAAGCTCTCCGGGTAAAGCCATTACCCTAAAACCCCAACTGCGGCAGTCTCTGCGGGATGACGGAGCCCACAGGCGGGGGCCTGGGAGAGACGCCACCCACGAGGCGGGGGACCTCACCTGGCGCCCGAGGTGAACAAACCGCTCAAGCAAAACTCAAGCAAACGCCACACGGGATCCAAACAGGAAAAGATGTTGGTGGAAAGGTGGTGGGACCTGTAGAGCCGCGGTCAGGGGCGCATGGCACCCAGCGGGTCTCTGTTGCGGCCCAGGCCATGGGGGGCTCCCGGGTGCGGGGGACAGCCGCGTTCCGGCCCGCCTGCGCCCTTCCGCAGACCTCCAAGTGGCCCGACAGAGAAAGCCGGTTGAAGAGGAAACGAAGCTCAGAGCCACGGACGGTGGCAGCACGCTGGGCGCCCTGTGGCCCTAGGGGTCACAGGCACCTTGTCGGGTGTGAAGAGCATCACGCTCATGTGTACACAACATGTTCATACATTTCAGAAGTCCCTCCGCTTTACAGGTTCACAGGCAAGTGTCTCCCGGGGAGACAGATGACCAGAGCGTGTGGGGAAGGACGGATGGAGCCACACGCAGGACACAGGCTGGGCGTGGAGCCCGGACACAGGCCTCCTGGGGGCCTCGCTCTGCGCGGGGACAGCCTGCAAGGCTCCCCAGCAAAGCCCTGTCACCAGGAGCTGCCCTGAAGCCCAAGGAGGGCCGGGCGGGGACGAGCCAGAGCCCGCAGTCTGCCCGCCCCCTGGTGGTGACCCAGGGGACTGCCGCTGCGCGGGGCCCGCAGGGCTGGGGTGGGGGGGCTGGGGGGGTGGATGATGATGGACAGACAGACCAGGGATGGGAGACCCAGGCAGGATGTGGCTCCCTGCCCTCAGCCCCGGACAGGGCCAGCGTGGTCCCCTCCAGGCCCCGGGCTGGCATGCACAAAGAAAGCACAGCCAGGAGGGCCGGCTGCCCGCGCTCTCGCATCTCCCACCCTGCCTGGGCCCAGTCTCCCCATCTGCGAATGGAAGGAATGTCGCCCCTTTATAGGGAGCACACGAGTCAGGGCCCGCCTACACAAGCAGCGGTGTCATTACTGTTCTCATCCTCTTAGTTTTACAGAGGAGGAAGACGCCTCGGCCACTCCCTTCCCCGAGGGCACCAGCTGCTGGGCGCCCGTCCCCTCGCCCCGTCCTGCCCTGACTCAAGGAGGAAAAGCTCGCTCCTGGAGGGGCCTTTCTGCAAGCCGGCCCCGCGGAAGAAGGGCTCACCCGCCCTGCGTGGAAGCCAGGAAGTGGGGCACCGGGCAGAAGAGAGCTGCAATAGTGGGCCTGAGGCCGCCACCTCGCAGAGGCCGGCTCACCAGGGCGGCCCCCAGTGGCGTCTGGACCTGGACTCGGGCTCAGTCAGCCACACTACCCGGGCTCCCAGCCCTCAGCCGTCTGTGCAGACACAGGCTCTGGTCGAGCTCTGCTCCCCTCCTGAGCCTGGAATCCCATGCCCGGCCCGAGAATCCAGTCCTGGGGACGGTCCCTCACACGTGCTGTCACATCTGGTTTGGGGGAATCAGGCACGTCCTGTGGGACTCCCCTGGGAGAGGACTCTGGAAGCTTCTGCCTGGTCTCCCGCCCCCGCCCCACATGCCCTTCCTTCTGCTCATTTTTACTCATGTCCTTTCTCTGCAGAAACCACAGCCGTGAGGACGACCATGGCTGAGTCCTGGGGTCCCCGGGGGTCCCCACTCCTGGGAGGATCCTGGGGACCCCAAGACAGCCCATTACTGGTCCTCCAGACCCAGATCTGGGAGGGTGTCAGCCAAGAAGGAATGCAACATTCAGGGTCCCCGCAGAGCCCACCTGCTCCCCACGCAGGAAGGGAGCGCCAGGGCCATGTGGGGGAGGCAAGATTCTGGAAGATCTGGCGAGAAGCAGACGGGGCAAGGCTCTGCACGAGGACGGGGCAGGCACGGCAGGAAACGGACCACAAAGAAGGAGCTCAAGAAGCCGGGCCCACGAGGCCGCAAACACCCGCACGAGGCCTCCAAGGCCAGAGAGACGGCATGACCTGTCTCCGGGCAGGACAGATCGCGGCAGCGCTCCCAGCGGACAGCGGAAAAGAGTGACGAGAATGAGAACCGCGGAAATGAGGGCAACCCGGGGGCCCAAACCAGGAGCCAGGAGGCCCACAAGTGAGCGAGAAGACCCCAAAGTTGCGAGGCCAGACAACCGGGGTGGGCAGAAGGCCCCAAAGATGACCCTGTCCTGGTCCCTGGCCCTGTGGATGTGTCACCTCACGAGGCAGAGGGGACTCTGCAGACAGGTTAAGTAGAGCCCCCTGGGATGGGGGTGACCCTGGATTCCTGGGGCCCAGGGTCATCCCAGGGTCCTGAGCAGAGGGAGGCAGGAGGGTCAGAGGCCGAGATGGAGACGCTGTGCTGCTGGCCGTGTGGACAGAGGAAGGGGCCCCGAGCCCAGGACGCAGCGCCTCTGGAAGCTGGAGGAGGCGGGACACGCTCCTCCCCTGGGGCCTCAGGAGGACCTGCCCTGCCCTCACCTGGGTTTAGCCCCGTGGGACCCTGTCGGACTCCCGATCCCAGGACGTGAGATGATGTGTGTGTTTCACTTTAAGTCCCTAGGCTTGGAGTCATTTGTACAGCTGCCACAGAAACGTCCTGTAACACCTTACAGGCAAACCAACGAAGGTCGAGCGCTCTCTGGACGCTGGGGTCACAGGCGGTGCTGTGGGGCAGGCCCTCTCTCCATCTCCCAGTCCTCCTCCCAGGACACGCCACAGGACCATGCTGCCCAGCAGCCAGCCGGGATGGAACGCAGCTGTGGCCGGCAGAACGTGGCCCTGGGTCTGTGCTTTGGGCCCGGCCCCCCGCCCCACAGAGTGTTTCCAGGAGCAGGGGGCAAACCCCCGGTCCCTCCCGGCCGGCCCGGGTTCTGGGGCCCATCTGTCAGCACGTGGCCCACGTTGACCGGTGCGTGTGTCCTCCCGTGTTTCCACAGCTCCCACGCGTCACACTGGCGCGTCTACCCACACGGCTCCCACGGGCCCCGCTTACCATGCGCCCCAGCCCGAGAAGCCGACGGCCTGGATGACGGTCAGGACAAACTGGGCTCCAAAGATGAAGAAGAAGGCCATGAAGTTAAAGGAGCTGTCGGCTCTGGGGAGGAAACGACACGCCGTTACCGTGGCCCACGCCCCGGACGGCGCCCCTGAGGAACAGGGGCAGCAGACGGCAAAGCGGGCTTCCCTCCTGCTTCCGACACTGACACTCGGGTCACCGCGCACGAGCCCAGCAGGCTCTGACTGCAGGGGCTAGCACGCAGCACCTCTGAACAGATGCTACAGCCACTGGACCTCCACTGGGAAGGACGTGGGGCCGCTCTCCTGCGTCCTAAGGGTTTGACCACGTCCCGCGTGCACGCCACGCTCACGCGCTTGTTGGAGAGTAATCTGGGCAGACGGTGCATCTCGGGTTTGAGGGGCCCTGCAGACTGCCCTGAGCCCGAGGGACAGCTGCAGGGCCCCGTCCCAGGCCGCTGCCGGTGCACTGAGGGCGGGTAGGTGCTGGGGGACCCGGGGCTGGAGGAGGAGGCGAAGCTCTCACAGAGCAGGGCTGTCCCCGAGGGCCCACGGCGCTGTGCTGTCCTGCACACGTCTGCCCGAGCCAGCTGGGGACCTCGAGCCCCGGCCCTCCTCCAGCTTCCGCAAATGTGGGCGGGCTTCTGGTTCTTGGCTCCAAGAAAGGCTGACACACTCTGAGCCTGGGATTCAGGGACCACCTAGCAGCAAACACGGCACAGGCCTCAGAGCAGGGGGCCGGCTCGGGGCAAATGTCCACAGCAGCACAACTCACAACGGCCAAAAGGCAGACACAACCTGAGTGTCCGTCAACAGACGCGTGTGTCCATCCACACACTGGACTATTACGTGGCCGTGAAGAGGAGCGAGGCCCTGACACAGTCGCACGTGGACGGACCTGAACACACAACGCTCAGGGAGAGAAGCAGACACAGAAGGACACACGGTGTGCGATCCCATTGACGGGAAACGTCCAGAACAGGCAGATCCACAGACAGAGAGCGGGCCCGTGGGTGCCAGGGGCTGGGGAGGGGGTGCGGGTGACTGCTCATGGGGACAGGGCTTCTTTTTAGGGTGATGGAATGTTCTAGAACTAGAGATGATCATACAACCTGGTGAAGATGCTAAGAACAGTGAACTGTTAAGTAGGTGAGTTGTGTGCTACGTAAAGTCCATCTCAATAAGCTTCTTACAAAAGAAAACAAAACAAGAAGTAGCTGGATTCAGTCTGCAGACTCGATATAAACTGTCACCCAAACCGGACAGGAGAAAGGGACAGTTACTGATCCCTGGGCCAGAGTGACAGGTGTGGGCCAGGGTGCAGGCCCCAAGAGGAGCTGAGCACACACCTGGTTGATGTCCCGACCGCCTTGGTCGGGAGCCGCGCATCCGCCCCACACACTCCCAGAGGCCCCTCGGGGTGCGGGCCGGGCGTCGTCTTACCGGAAGGCCTTGTACGCGGGCCGGAACCAGCACACATAGCTGCAGGGGGAGAAGAGCAGCAGCCAGACCAAGGCCAGGCCGAAGTTGGCTCCCGAGCCGCCGCCGATCCACCAGGCCAGGCAGGCGATGAGGTTGACCCCCAGGGTGGCGCAGTAGACTGGGGAGGGGCGACGAGGAGGGTGAGCCGGGACACCTCCCCCCCCACCGGGCGAGCCGGCAGGGCAGGCAGGCCAGCTCCCACCAGCGCGGGGACCACGGGGCCAGACAAGGGCTCCCACCCAGCCGGCCCCCTCGGCTCTGTCCCCCACACCATGTCGCTGCCGGGACAGAACTTGACTAGAAAGACGAGGTTTATCACAAAACCCTGAGGCTCTCCCCAGCCGAGGATGGGGCAGCTGCGTGGCCTGGACGTGCCTGGCCTGGGTGTCTGGGGTCCAGGGAGCCCCGCCCAGCCCCGCCCGCCGCTCACACAGCCACAGCCGGAAGATCCTCTTCACCAGCAGCTGGTGCTCGATGGGGATCTCGTCGGAGAAGTTCTGGTAGAAGCATGGCTTCAGCGGGATGAACTTGGGCAGCGGCGGGAAGTTGTTCTCCTTTCCTGCGGGACAGACGACAGCGCGGGGCCACACCGGCTCAGCTCAGTCACGGATCCAAAGACGTCCCCGTCCTGGTCCCGGGCCCTGTGCACGTGTCACCTCACACGGCAAAGGGACTCTGCAGACGGGCTAAGTCGAGGCCCCTGGGATGGGGGTGACCCTGGATCCCCGGGGCCCAGGGTCATCCCAGGGTCAGAGGCAGAGATGGGGACGCTGCACTGCTGGCCGTGCGGACGGAGGAAGGGGCCCCGAGCCCAGGACGCAGCGCCTCTGGAAGCTGGAGGAGGCGGGACACGCTCCTCCCCTGGGGCCTCAGGAGGACCCACCCTGCCCGCCCTGGGTTTAGCCCCTGGGACCCTGTTGGACTCCTGACGCCAGGACGTGAGACGATAAATTTTACGCCACCCGTTTGTAGTGACTTCTTCCAGCGCTCACAGGAAACACAGACCCGGCGGCAGAGCCCGCGTGCTGTCAACACCTGTGACTCCAGAGACATTTCTGGCACTGGGAATGGATGAGCTTCCCGGGGCCACTGTAACTAATGAGCACAAACTCGGGGGTTTAAAACAACAGAAATTTATCCTCTCTCAGTCCTGGAGGCCACACGCCCCAGATCCAGGCGGGCAGGGCCGCACTCCCTCCACACACTCCAGGGGAGGGTCCTTCCTTCCTCTTCCAGTCTCTGGGGTTCCAGCATCCCTGACATGTGGCCCTATCGCCCGTCTCTGCCTCCGCGGTCACATGGCCTCTCCCTGTGTGTCCGTCTCTAACTCTCCCTCTTCTCAGAAGGACGTCTGTCACATCATGTTAGCGTCCCCCATCTCGTGACCTCATCTTACCCACTTACACCTGCAAAGACCCTACTCCCAAACGAGGTCCCATCGTTCCCAGGTAGTGGGGTCTGGACTTGAACCTGTCTTTTGAGGACAAGATTCAACAGTGGCATGCTCCCCAGCACGGCTGCAGGACACGTGTCCTGGGCCCTGATGAGGGCCGGACAAGGGGCAAAGCAGACAGAGGCCTCTGTCCCCCGGGGCCACCATGCCACAGGGGCAGACCACAATATCATAACAACTGAGTAACTGTGCTAGAAGATGCTGTCAGGGAGAAGAACAGAGCAGGCGGGACTGCCAGGCACGTGTGCTGGGGTCGGGGGAGGCCTCATTCAAAGGGTGGCAGAGAACCGGTGAAGAAGAGAACCCAGTGGCCTCTAGGGGAGGGTGCCGCCAGTGCAAAGGCCCTGGGGTGGGTACCTGCCGGGCTAGGAGCACCGAGATCAGGGGCAGGAGGGCAGGTGGGCCGGGCAGACCACACTCTTTTGGCCACTGAGAAGCCTCAGGACGCCACGGAGTGCCCTGAGCCTGAGCACACAGGGGATTCAATCTGCTCTGAGCCAGCCCCCTCGCTGCTTCTATGATGAGAGGCTGGGAGGAGGCCTCCAGCCTGCCACTGCGGGTCATAGACCCCTCATCCCCGTCCCAGCTGAGACCGGGTCCCAAGGCCCCCACAACAGCTCCTCCGGCCCCCAGCCCCAGGTCCTGCTGCTCCCTTGGTCACCGGTACCCCTCTCCCGGCCTGACATTGACGCCACACCTCCCGCCAGCCAAGTGAGGACAGGGTGACATTCTCAGCAGCCAGTCCCGCCAGCAGGCACTGGGACAGGACGGAGGCTAAAACCGCCAGCCGAGTTGCCCGCCCCTGTGAAACCTCAGTTTCCTGGCAGATAGGGAGCCCCAGAGGGACAGTGTGTGCAGACAGAGGAACAGTGTGGCCTCGGGGGTCTGGTCCATGGCCGGCTCTGCCCCAGCCGGCTGAGCGTGGTCCACCCGCCTCCCTCCTCTCCCCATCCCCAGCAGGACGAGGCGGGCAGCCCGGGGGGCTCTTCACCGCGGCCGCCGGAGCGAGGGTGCTGTCGGACACGGGCAGGTGCGAACCCAGGTGCCCGGATCTCGATGCCCACCATCATGTCAACGACAAAGCGAGCCCTGAGGCAGAAGGCTGGCTGGGCCGGACACTCGCCTGGGGGACAAGAGTGAGGTGCGTGCCCGAGGGGGTCGCAGTGCGTCCAGCTGCCCGGGGACACTTCCTAGAAGGACAGAGAAGCCGGGACGCCTGCTGCAGGGCCCCGGGTAAGACTCACCTGACATTTCTGCTGTGATGACCAGCTGGGGGCGAAGCCTGCAGCCACCTAGGGGGAGACAGCCACAGTCAGGGGGTCCCCACGGCTGCCGGGTAGAGTGCTAGCTGCCAGGCCACCCAGGGGGTGTCTGGACTCTTCCCGAAAGGCCAGCCCCAAATGCGGGACCCCAGTCACCAGCTGGCCTCACAGCCTCCTGGGGGGCGTCTGCACTGACGGGGGGTCAGGCTGCAGCCCCACCCCGCAGTGGCCACAGCCAGGACGTTCCTGGGAGACCAGCGACCTGCCCCCACTGCTCTCCCACCTCCTCCTCCTCCCCCACGCCAAAGGATGGCTCTGAGCGCCTCCACAAGGTCCCACTTCCAAGTCACCGAGAACTGTGAGCACACTTGCTGTGTGACCTCAGGCAAGTCACACAGCCCAGACTCTCTGGGTCTGCAGGGTTTGCCCCCGTGAGCCTTGCAGGGCCAAGGTCCCCACTGCACCCCAAGCGAAGCACCCAGGGACAAGCGGGCACGCAGTGGCCCTTCCTAGAGGGAGCCACGTGACTGTGTCACGGAGCAGCCCCCATGCCAGGCTGCCCCAACGCGCACAACCGAGCAGTGTCCGCCGGATCCACAGGGGCTCTGCACGCGGACGGCGCCACTTCCAGACAGGGCTGCGCCCACACGGCCACGGCCAGTCCCTGCCCAGTCATCACGGCACAGCTGGGCCTGAATGTCCCCAGCGCCTGGCACTGGGGCGTGGACACCAAGGCCTGCAGGCCAGCATGGGGCAGGAAGCTGGGACAGTCCAGGTGGGAAGGGTCCAGTGACACCGAGTTCCCCAGGGCCCACCCCTCAGCCCAGTGACAGCCCCACCTGGACCTTCTGTCTGGCCCAGCCCAGGCTGCCTGCAGGCCTGGCGGACTCACGGCCCATGCCAGTGTCTGTCCACTGCACAGAGCCCACGCGTGCCCTGCGCCACGGGCGTCCCCCGCTGAGGGCTCGGGGGGGCTCAGAGCAGGGCTGCCTCGGGGCCGCGCAGGGTCTGGGTGCTCAGATAGGGCACGGTGCTATGTGACAAACGGGCCTGCTCTGAGTCCTGACACCTTGCTTCTAGCCCTAGCTGCTCTGTGGCAGAACCCCGCTGGACCCCCCTGGGTCCCTGTGAAGCAGACATAGGATGGCCTCAAAGGAGCCTTGGGGTCAGCTGACTCTGAGCTGGCGGGCTACACCAGCGGAGACACACCCCGGCCAGGCACGCCCTTCGAGACCCAGGACACGGGCAGGGAGGTACACCTGGGGCCCCACTGTGCCCACACTCGGCTCAGAAGCTCCCTGCCCTACAACACCAGGCCCTCAGCGGAGGGACTGCCCCGAACCTGGGACCCTCGGCCACCATGGCCCCGTGACTATCAACAGACACCAACCTGGTTTGGGGGTTGTGTTTATTTTACAGGTCACATCTGTTTTCCGACCCGAGACAGAGGAGACACAATCCTAGAGAACCCATGGGCTCGAGGCTGAAGGTGGCTGGAGGAACGAGGCCTGACTGCACGGCTCCACGGTCCACGGCCCGGCTGGATCCCAGCTGTGCTCCGGTCCTGGGAGAGCTCAGTCCGGGCAGAAACGTGCGCCCACGGGCCGGCGGGAACAGCGCGGCTGCTGGCTCCGAGGCTGGCAGGCGTGAGTGTCCCTACAATTGAGAGGACCACAGCCTCCTGGATGACGGCGGGGGAGGCCGGGGCAACATGTGGAGTCCGCGAGGAGGCCGGGGCCACGCCTGGAGTCCGGGAGGAGGCCAGGGCCAGCGCGGAGCAGAGGAAGTCCGGAAGCCGGCGGGCGGGCAGGCACGGGGCCTACGTGTCAGGGTCCAGCCGGCGGCACGCGGCCTCCAGCACGCCGCGGAACACCTGGAAGCGGTGGTTGAGGTCGGGCCGGGCGTGGAGACGGAGGCGGGTGCCCAGGGCGCCGTCGGGCGAGGGCGCGCCGTAGAAGACGCGCTGCACGCGGGAGTGCACCAGGGCCATGGCGCACATGGCACAGGGCTCGCGGGTGACGTAGAGGTCGTAGCCGGTGCACACGTAGGGGAGGCCGTCCTCATCCGTGTCCACGTCCTCGTCCAGCTTGCGCACGGAGCCCACGCGGACGGCCTGGGCGCTGGCGGCCGGGGCGAAGGAGCAGGCGGGGTGGGGCCTGAGGTCGTAGGTGCCGCGGCCCTGGCCCTGGGCCACCAGGTCGATGCACACCATGGTGGCGTGCAGCAGGGGGGTGGCCGGGCTGCGGCAGTCGTGGCCCGTGGCCAGCACACGGTCTGAGGCTGGGTCCACCACCACGGCCCCCACGGCCCTCAGGCCCCTCGCGGCCGCCTGCTGCGCCGCCCGGATAGCCCGCTCCATGTGGCCCTGCATCGCAGCCCGCTCCTGTGCTGAGAAGAGCCGCCCGGCCAGGGCACGGGTCACCTGCCTGTCCTCGTGGAAGGATGTGGGCCAGTGGGCACGGGCCTCCTCAAACTGGCCCCTGGTCAGGGGCGGCCGGGCAGGCACGGGCACCAGGAAGGGCTGTCCCAGGCCACGGGCGTCCACGGCTGGCCACGGCAGGAGCTCAGCGAGCGAGCGCGCGCCCACGGCAGGCTCCGCCAGGCACAGCAGCATCTCCAGCGTGTGCGGGCGGCTGGCATCGCGGCTCGGCCGCACCCTCTTGAGGTGGGACTGCGCGGGCAGCGGGTGGACAGCTGACACCTCCTTGAGGAGCCGTGAGGTCTGGCGCTTGTCGAGGACGGGTGCAGCATAGGCCAGCACCAGCTCCACGGCCCCGCACTGCTGTTCAGACAGGACCGGGAGGGCCTGCCATGGCGCGGGTTCTCGCTCCGGGCTCCCGGCCTCCTGGTCCCCACGCTGCTCTGCGGCGCCCGGGGCGGGGTCCATCCTGGGCACGGCTCCGACTGTGGGAGACAGAGACCGGAGCAGAGCATCATCCGTCAGCCGCGGGAGGCCGGGGTGAGCCGGAGGGGTCCGTCCCAGGAGCGCGCCGCATCGGAAGGCTCGTCCGGAGCTCCAGCCCAAGGACAACGCGTCACTGGCCACTGCGCTCTCGCCCACATCCTACTAGCTCTGGGTTTACAGAGAGTTTAAATTGCCACCACTTTTTCTCTTTCTCTTTCTTTGAGCTGTGCCTTGAGCAGAAATGCAGCCCGGATGTCGGAGACTTAAGACGGACGAGAGAGCGTAAACCGCCTCAGCTGCCTTATGTTGACAGTGTGCTTACGTGGTAATGCTTTGTGTGTCTTGGTTAAACAAACACATCCTTAAAATTGGTTTCACCTGTTTCTTTGTGCGATTTAAAAACTGGGCTTCTAACTGCTTTTACCCCTCACAATGCGCACCCCCGGCTCACTCTGCACCCCACGGGCTCCCGTGTGGTTACTGGCCAGGGCCCTCGGAGGGCACGTGAGGTCCTCATCCAACACAACGTGCCCTAAGGTCACGACGCAAGTCTGGCAAATGCACAGAGCGGAGGCGTGGGGGCAGCTGTGAGAAGTGGGAAGTGGAGGGCCCTGCTTGCACCCCCGACGCCGGTGCCAGGCAGAGCCCCCAGGAGGGCCCACAGCACCGATGCCAAATCCTGCTCCCGGCACACACCAAGTCCAGGAGCCACGGCCCAGATGGCCTGCCCCGGGCCACAAAGCTCTCACTGTCTCCAGGGCAAAAGACAGACACAGCCTCGTTTGTCCCTCCCAGACTACATCCTCTGCCCGACTAAAACAGAACAAGCCACAAGGAAAGGAGGCTGCCAGCGGGACGCTGCTGGCTGGGCCACCAACCCCTAGGGAGGATGGGTAAAAGTGACAAAACAGTCACTATCTGAGCCAGCAACTCCACTCCTAGGTATGTGCCCAGGAGAACTGAAAACACACATGCACACAGAAACCTGCACACATGTGTCGATGGCAGCACAATTCACAACGGCCAAAAGGTGCACACAACCCCAGTGTCCAACGACAGCTGACGGATCCACACACGGGTCCACCCACACACGGGTCCACCCACACAGTGGAGTATTATGAAGTCGTGAAAAGGAGTGAGGCCCTGACATGGCTGCATGCGGACAGACCTGAACACACGATGCCCAAGGAGAGAAGCAGACACAGAAGGACACACGGCGTGTGATCCCATTGACCTGAAACGTCCAGAACAGGCAGATCCACAGACAGAGAGCGGGCTTGTGGGTGTCACAGGCTGGGGAGGGGGCAGGGCTGATGCTGATGGGATGGGGTTGCTTTGCAGCGTGATGAGGATGTTCTAGAACCTGATAGAGATGAAAGTTATTCAACTCTGTGAACGTATTAAAAACCACTAAAACGCTCCTCATGAGTGGGTGACCTGCAGTCCGTGAATTGTATCTCAGCAGAGCGGCTGCGAAAGGGACCGAGAGGGGAGGATGTGAGTCAGCAGACCCCAGACGAGGCCCGGCGCCTCGAGGACAGCTGCGGGTCCTGTGACCACCACGGGTCCTCAGGCTTCCACGAACGGGCTCCCCTGCATCTCCACTGACCCGGGGAGGGAGATCCTGGGACCATCCCTGTTCTAAGGGCCGAGACGAGGCTCCCAGAGGTGAAGGGACTTGCCGGGAGCCACGTGGCTGGGACGGGCAGAGCTGGGACCTAACCTGGCAGCCGGCCGCTCACCAGCTCAGTGACCCTGCCTTCCGAGACAGACTGGCAGGCTCCGGCCCACGCAAGATGGGTCCATACCCCGTTCTACACGAGAAGGAAACAGCTTCTGCAGAGGGTGACGCCTGGGCCACCTGCAGAGCACCCACCCACAAACCTCCCGCTTGAACACTCCGGGGGGACCTGATGCGTGGCGGCGGCGGCGGCCACCGCACCTCAGTTCCTCTTCTCCCAGCTCCTGACCCCCCACACCCTCCGCCTGCGCTCTCCCCGGGTCATGCCCAGCTCAGTCCCTTCCCTTTGCCAACAGCTTCCGTCTCCAAGTCTCCAAGGGGCTCAGGCGGGTCCCTTCACATTTACCGTTGCAGTCCTGAGCCTGCTGCCTCTGTCCAGGGCACAGAGCGTTCAACTGCAAAGACAGCCCCTTCCCCATGGACCACACACCCTGGAGGGGCTGCCTGGACCAGAAAGACGGGACCCCTAACGGCGACGGGGTCAGTGGCTTAGGACCACCCACCCTTCCAGCATCCCAATGGAAAATGGGCGTGCTCTGGAACTCCTGGGGACAATGGGCAGCCGGTGGCATCCAGGGGCTGTGGGCCTGGGGTCCCAGCAGGAGTGAACTCGGCTCCAGGAGGACGGGAAACGGCACTTCTTCCACGAGCGAGTCAGGCTCCGCAGGCGACACCCAGTAACCCTTGGGCTTGAGGCCTTATCTCATCCCCAGGTCAGGACGGAGAGAGCCTGGACTGGGTGCATCCAGGCCCTGCCCAAGGAGCCCTGACCCCAGCTCGGAAGGAAGCTCCCCTGTCCCCTGAGGCCTCAGGCACCAGTCCTACCCCCCACACCAGCTTCCCCCTCCGGGAAACGGGAACCCACCACTGTCACTCGGGGCTGTGTAGGGCACAAAGCAAGAAAACCCAGGCCTGGCCTGGAAACCACCCTACAGCTTCTCGGGGGCCCCGACTGTGGCGGGTGGAGCCCAGGAGGGCTCCTCAGAGGCAGTGACCCACAGCCAGGCCTGGAAGACAGGCAGAGCAGGGCAGTGAGTCCTGAGCATTAGGAACAGCCAGGGCTGGGGTCTCGGAGGCGCCCATGGGCTGGGTGGGCGCTGGTTCCAGACGCTGTTTCCAGGACTCGGCTCCACCGGAAAGGGATGGGGCCTCAATTGAATTCGCATTGCTAACACGCCCCCAATGGAGTGGGGTTGCGGGGTGATACCTAGGACGCCCCGATGAACCCGAATTCCAGAGGCGGCGCATATGATCTTTTGGGGTGCGCCTGTCCCATGCGATCTTTGGGACGTACAATTAAAAGAAAAATCACTCCTCGTCTATCAGGAATTCGAATTTAACGGGGCGTCCTGCGCTTTTACTTCCTGAACCTGGCCCCCCTACAAGCGGCCCTCCTGTGCATGACAGCTCGAGACCCTCGGAAATGTGGGGCGCGGGAGAGGACCCCTGATCCCCGGGGCCCGGATAAGAAGTAGTCTCGAAAATTCACCCTTGGATTAAGATCGTGTGGGATGATGAGCGTTTAGGAGGGTCCCCGCGCCCAAGGCGGGCAGGAGGCTGCAAACGGGGTACCCCCGAGGCAGGGGGCTGGCCGCGATGACCCGCGGGCACGCGCACCGGAAGCAGCTGGACCCGCGGGGCCTCCACGCCGGGCCGCAGGGGCGCGCGCACGCGCAGAAAGGCGAGGGTCGCGAGGAGCGGAGTCCCGCAGCCCGGCCGCCCCGCGCGCACGCGCACGCGCACACGCGCCGCTCCCCCCGCCCGTTTGAGGCGCGCGCCAGCCCGGCCCGGCTGCCCCGTCGCTCCCCACGCGGCCAGCGCCCCCCGCAGCCGAGACCCCCCCGTGGCCGCCCCCTCTCGCATCCGGGGGGGCCCGGGTCGCGAGAGCCCGAGACCCCAGAGGCCACGCGCTTACCTTAGGAGACGAGCGCGAGCGCTGCGCTTCTCCAAGTCTTAGCAACCGGCCGCCCGCCCCGCCTCCGCCTGGCGCCGCGGGGCACGACGGGAGCGTAGTTCCAGGGGCGGGGTCGGCGCGCGGCAGAGGCGGGGCCGGGACTACAATCCCCACAACGCCGCGCGCGCGGCCGCCTCGCTCCGCCCCTCCCCAGAGCGCCGCTCCCGTGACCGGCAGTTGAGCGTTGAGTTGCGGGTTCGAGACCCGTCCCGGCGGCGGCGAAAGTCGGACCCTGGGGACCCTTGGAGAAAATCAGTAGAGTAGGGAGACTGAGGCAGAAAGGCATACGACACCCACTCCAGTCACTCCCCGAGCACACTTTGGTGCTGCCACCTGGTTCCCGAGGAGCTGTCCCCAGAGACCTGGATGGACTCAGGTTCCAATTCTGGTCTGAGGCCCAGGCTGACTCCAGGGCTCAGTTTCCCCATTTGTACCGTAGGCAAAGGGGATTCTTGACTCTTCCGGGAAAGCCATGTTAATTTTATGAGCAAATCCAGTTATTCATTCCAGTGAAACAGGGTTTAACCCAGTGATTCTCAGCATCTGTTCCTGCAGAAAACAACACTCTGGGAAACCATTTTGCTTGTAGCTGGTCACTTTCTTTTTTCTTTTCTAAATAAAAACTCAGATTGATGTGTGGTTTAGTTTTTCCTTTTCTTTTTACACATCTCTCCATCACTGGATGTGCCAGTCAAGCTAGCCAAGACCCCCCGTTTTGCTGATTATTAAAAAAAAAAATATATTGATGGTCTTTCATTGGGATGTCGCTGGAAGCAATGCCTAATTTTTCTGCATGTCGAAAGTGAATCTCTTCGCTGTGTTTTCCTGCCTATTTTTAATTTCTCAGAATCCAAAAGACATATAAGTAGGGATGTAAAATGGTCCATCAGCTGGGGTAAAAACAGTTTGGCTGTTCTTCAAAAAGCTGAACATAGAATTACCCTACAACCCAGCAATTCCACTTCTAGGTATAGACTCAAGAGGATTGAAAGCAGGGATTTCAATGGATGCTTGGACACCATGCTTATAGCAGCATTATCCACAATAGACAGAAGCTTGTCAATCAGAGCATTTCCCTCCCCCTGATCACTGTGATTGGTTCAGGGATGGACATGTGATGCAGCGATACCAATGAGAGTCAGCCCTGGGACTCTGTCTGAAATGTGAGCAAAAAAGTGGCTCTCATTATGCTAGAGTTAAGCCTGGAATTCCCGGGGGGCGGGGGGGCATCGTTTTTGCCACTCAGCAGTGGAGCCTGTCTGAGAATGAAGCCAGAGCAGAAGAGAGCAGATCCCAGAGAGAAAGCGAGGTCCATGCCTTGAAAACATTGTTTGAGCACCTGGATCCAGCCATGCCTGAATCAGGAAGCCTTTGGGCTTTCCCGTGATTTTTGGTTTTGCTGTTTTTTTTTTTTTTTTTTTTTTACTTAAGCTAATTAGAGTCATAATTTCAGTGCTTTAGAAATCCAGATCTTTGACTGATAAGGTCCCTTTTGTTTTGACATTGTTCATCATCTAGCCCCTTTCACAAGCAACATGACCCTCAAAATTCGTGGTGATAGGTTAGTGTCCAGCACCAAAAGGTTGGAAAAACTGTGAAATCGGTTCCTTAATGGTAAGCTTAATGGCAGCGGAAAGCACATTGAAATCAGTCAGAAGCCTGGTTAGCTGCTGATGGGCTGGGTGCCATAAGCTCTTCCACGTCTGCAAGGCAGTCAGCAAACGACTCTGGAGGAGGACAGGGACTTCCCTACAAAACCCCTGCATCTCCATGGGGCTGGCGCCAAAATCAACGCTCTTTGCGCCAAGCATGGCTCGTGTTTATCTGGCTCATTATCCTGTTGACTTTCTCAGGCGGCTCCCGGCAGCTGTGTGGGCCCCAGGTGCTTCCCGCCTCGGCCGCGATCCTCAGACAAGGCTTTTCCTGGAAACGCGCTGGGGGGACTTCCTTCAACTGCCCGGGGAAGGCAGATGCAAGCCCGCCACAGCCTGACAAGGAGGGGAAAGTTGCCATCCCCTGCTTCCCAGACGTCACAGGACACTTTACCACCCCCAGCAGGGCTCTCGGTAAATGAGACTCCAAGAGGGCTCCATGACCCGATCACATGTGCGCGCGCACGCACGCACGCACACACACACACACACACAGAGTCGATCAGCTGCCAACCACCTGTCATCGGTCAGTTCCTCCAGGCTGGAAAACATTGGTTTCTGAAAAGCAAACTTAAGCGTCCTCAAATTCTTTTTTTTTTTTTTTTGGAAGATTAGCCCTGAGCTAACTGCTGCCAATCCTCCTTTTTTTTTTTTTTTTTTTTTTTTTTGCTGAGGAAGACTGGCTCTGAGCTCACATCCATGCCCGTCTTCCTCTGCTTTATATGTGGGACGCCTACCACAGCATGGCTTTTGCCAAGCAGTGCCATGTCTGTACCCAGGATCTGAACCGGCGAACCCCAGGCCAGGCCGCTGAAGCGGAATGTGCAAACTTAACCGCTGCACCACCGGGCCAGGCCCTCAAATTCTAAGACCCAACCTCTATGAGCACAACCTTTTAACCCTTAGTTTGCACACAATTATAACCCACCTTGTTCTCTGTTTTCCCAGGTTCCAGAGGCTGAGCCAAATGACAATAATTAATAATGAGTGACATGGGGCCGGCTGGCCTGGTGGCACAGCGGTTAAGTGTGCATGTTCCACTTCAGCAGCCGGGAGTTTGCGTGTCATGGGGTGGAATGCACCCCGCGTGGCACACAGTTCCAACCAATTCCTCCCAAAAACCATGAGCACACAGGACCAGGGGGTGTCAGGGGGAGCCCCCAGCTCAAACACTCCCAAGTCGCTCCTGGGACCCCTTTATTTTATTGTCTTCCCAGCACTTATGATCACCTGGTGATATGTTATTTCTCTAGAATGTCCGCTCCACCAATGCTGGAAATTTTCTTTGATGCGGTATCCGCATCGCCTGGCTCAGAGCGAGGTCCCCATGCACGTGAACAGAAGAGGTCATTATTACTATTATTTTGGCAAGACAAATGGGATCGCCCACGCATCCCCCCCACAGCCCTGTGACCCCCCCCCACCCCGACTCTCCAAGGATCAAACGGGCACTGTCGCCACCTGCTGACCAAGGGCAGCACGGCCGCCGTGGCCGGTTTCAGGCGGATGAGCAGCAGGTTATCAGACCACTTCCCAGACACCGACACCCACCGGCCTCCCCCTCCGCAAGGCCAGAGGGGTCCAGGTCGCTGAGCGAGGCAGGGGTGGCATCAGCAATGGGTCTGCAAGCGGGGCACCCCCAGCAGCGGCACCTGGGGTCCTTTAGAAATGCAGATTCTTGAGCCCCACCCTAGACCTGCCGAATCAGAAACTTGGGCCCAGCCATCTGTGCTTCGGTGCCCTCCCCCCAACCCCCGGCCTTCGGGGGGATTCCGGGGCAGCTCAAGTTTGAGAAGCGGCACTGAGCAGCAGTTCTCAAGCCTAATGACTTTGCAATGTCTGGGGACATCTGTGGTTGTCACCGCTGGGGATGCTCCTGGCATCGAGTGGGTGGGGGCCAGGGATGCTGTGCAACACCCCACAGCGCCCAGGACGGCCCCCCACAACCACGAATCGTCCACCTCAAACGTCAGTCGTGCCGAGGCCGAGAAATCCTGCCCCAGAGCCAAGCAGGTACACTAATCATCGTGGGGGACCTTGGGCACGGGTCTTGGAGCTCCGAACCTCAGTTTCCCCACCTGTAAGCTGGGAACGATGACAGGACCTAGTCACCTAAGGTTGTTGCAAAAACCCGGACGAGTGACGTCAAGGAAGGACCCAGCCCCCGATCTGGGGGAACCTATGGGGCAGCAGACCCCTCCCCTGAAAACGGAGGCCCCTCCCGGACTTGGGGAGATCTAATCAGGGAAGTGGGGGCCCTTCTGCAGGAGAAGGCTGTGCCCCTATGTCAGGGGCTGGGGGAACCTTCTTGTCCTCCTGTCCCCCTGCTCGGTCCTTCAGGTCCCAAAGCCCGGCCGGGTCTCTACCGCGAGCTGCGGGGAGCCACGCGCGACGTCCCGCCTCCGCTCGGAAAGAGCGCTTTCTATTGGCCCTGGGGCAGGGCGGCGAGGTGCTATTGGCCGAGAGGCGTGTCGCGGGGAGTGATGGACGGGCCGAGGGCGGGGCCTCCGGGGCCCTGCGAGTCTTAGGTTTCGCTCTGGTCCACGCCGTCCGGAGGGAGGATGCGCGGCGCGCGGAATCCCCCGCCCGCAATTCCGGGGTGAGGGACCGCGGTGGCTTCTCTTTTCCTTTCTCAGATGGGGAAACTGAGTCTCAGCCTCCTGTTATTTCCTCCACCGTGGATTTTTTCACATTAATTTTGATTTTTAAATATATGGCAATAAAATAGTTTTTACCTCCATCACCGAGTTTTTTGGGCGCCCTCTTGAGTGTGGAGCCTAAGGCGAGTGTCTCACTCTCCTGACACGACTCCCAGTTCTGCAGAGAAGGGTGGAAGCAAGCGAGACCTGTGGGTCTGCAGCGGCATCTTTGGGCTTCCCTGCTGGGGTCCAGTCATTACTCCCAGATCTGATCTCCAGCGGACCGGTGGGGGGTCCTGGCTCCTCCTTTGGCCTGAGCTCCTCCTTAAAAGTTGATTAATTATGCACAATCATTCAGTTTTGTAACATCTGTATTGAGATATAATTCGCACACTACACAATTCACCCATTTACACTGTCCAGTTCAACGGTTTTTCATACATTCATAGAGTTGTGCAACCATCACCCCAATCTATTTTAGAGCATTTTCAATACCATAAAGAGAAACCCCACATCCAACAGCAGTCACTCCTCATTCTTCCTCCCCAGCCGCTGGCACCCACGAGCCCGCTCTCTATCTGTGGATCTGCCTGTTCTGGATGTTTCACATCAATGGGATCACATGCCGTGTGTCCTTCTGTGTCTGCTTCTCTTCCTGAGCGTCATGTGTTCAAGATCCATCCATATTGTGCCGTGTGTCCATGCTTCACTCCTTTTCATGGCTGAATAATATTCCAGGGCACGGCTGGACCACATTTGTTTATTCACTCACCCATTGATGGACATTTGCGTTTTCCACTTCTTAGCGATTATGAACAATGCTGCTGTGAACAGGTATGCATGAGTTTTTAGTCGGACATATGTTTTCATTTCTTCTGGGTTTATCCCCGGGGGCAGAATTACTGGATCACCTGGCAACCTGAGACCCATCAGACTGTTTTCCACTGCGGCTGCCCCATTTCCACTCCCGCCCACCGAGAGCGAGGGTTCTGGTTCTCCACACCCTCGCCAACACTTGCTGTTATCTATCTTCTGGAATACTGTTGTCCTAAGGTGGGGCGTGCCATCTCACTGTGCCTTTGGTTTGCATTTTCCTGGTGGCTCTGGATGGTGAGGAGACAGTAATTATTGAATGCTTACTGTCTGCCTGGGCCCTGCACGCAGAGCTCTGGACAACAGACTTGGTCCCTGCTCCTGCAGAGCTCATGAACAGGAGACGGATGGTAACCGGGTAAGATAAAACACTGCTGAGATCTTCCCAATAGAGCAAGTGCTCCACGGGATGCTGAACGCAGATGTTGCCTTCATAGTGACCAAGTGGCTGTGGTCCCTGGAGCGGTCAGAAAAGACATCTCCGAAACGGTGACACTTCCCCTGAGCCCTGATCATAAGTTTTCTGTGGGAAGAGCATTCCAGGCAGAGGGAACAGCCCATGCAAAGGCCCTGAGGCAGGAGTTGGCTTGTCATGTTCGAGCTGGGAAGATCCTGCAGCCTGAAGTTTGGTGAACACAGGGGTGCGTGGAGATGAAGCCGTGAGAGCCGGAGAGCCCGGCTGCTTCAGAAAACCATTTGGCAGTTTTGACTAAAGCTAAGCTCATGTATATTCTATGACCCGGCAAATGGATGAGTGTCTGTCGTGGACTGGATTGTGTCCTCCAAACTTCATGCACTGAAGCCCTAACGCCTAGGACCTCAGGATGTGACTGTATTTGGAGACAGGGCCTTTGAAGGGGTAGTTAAGGTAAAATGAGGTCATTAGGGTGGGCCCTCATCCAGTTTGACAGGGGTCCTTATGAGAAGAGGAGATGAGGACACAGACATGCGCAGAGGGCACGCCGAGGAGAGAGGGCTCAGAAGGAATCAGCCCTGAGGACACCTTGGTCTCGGACTTCCAGCCTCCCTCGCTGGGAGACGATCCACGTCTCTCGTTTAAGCTCTCGGTCTGTGATACTGTGTGATGGCAGCCTGAGCAAATTAATACAGGGCCCAATAAAATGTGTTCACATCCAGCAAAAGATTTGTATGAATGTTCTTAGCAACTTTGTTCATAATAACCCCAAACTGGAAACAACCCAAGTGTCCATCTGTAAGTGAACGGGTCAAGAAGTTGCGGTCCATTGATACAACGGAATACTACGCAGCAACGAAAAAGGTGAGTGACTGTGCCACCCTACCCCCCGGCTGCATTTCTTGGACATGATGCTGAGTGGGAAGTAGCCAGCACAAAGGGAACACACCACAGGACTCTGTTTAGAGAAAGTATGAAATTGGGCAAAACGAATCAATGGTGATGAAAGTCAACCAGTGGTGACCTCTGGGAGGGGAGAGACGCGGACAGGGCAGGAGGAGGCCTCTGCGGCAAAGGAGGCTGGAAGTAGGTGATGGTGCTCAGGGTTGTATATATATGTGTGCAATTTTTTTATAGACTATTTTGTTTTTGAGAAGTTTTAGGTTCATAGTGAAATTGAGCAGGAGGTACAGAAATTTCTCACTGACCCCTTTCCCCAAAGCACGCACAGCCTCCCCTCTGATCAACATCCCCCACCAGAGTGGACATTTATTGCGAGGATGAACCTACGTGGACACGTCGTACTCACCCAGACCCCGCAGTTGACAGTGGGGTTCACTCCTGGTTTTGTACTTTCCATGGGTTTGGACAATGCGTGATGTCATGTGTCCACCATCATAGTGTGATACAGAGTGGGGTCACTGGGTCACTGCCCTAAAAACCTCCGTGCTCCGCCAACGCCTCCTCCACAACCCCGGCAAGCACAGATCTTTTTCCCGTCTCCATAGTTTAGCCTGCCCACAGGCACTTCAATGCAGCCGCGCGCTTAAGACTTGTGCACGTCACGGTGTGTAAGTCCTGTCTTCATCTTTTTTTTCTTTTTTGAGGAAGATTAGCCCTGAGCTAACATCTGCCGCCAATCCTCTTCTTTTTGCTGAGGAAGACTGGCCCTGAGCTAACACCTGTGCCCATCTTCCTCCACTTTATATGTGGGACGCTTACCACAGCATGCCTGCCAAGCGGTGACATGTCCACACCCGGGATCCGAACCGGAGAACCCTAGGCCACCGAAGCGGAACGTGCGCACTTAACCGCTGCGCTACCAGGCCGGTCCCACGTCTTCATCTTTTACACATTATTTCTGGTGTATCTATGAGGGGGTTTCCAGACGAGGTCAGCCTTTGGGTCGGTGGTCTCAGTAAAGCAGACGGCCCTCCCCAAAGTGGGTGGGCATCATCCCATCCATTGTGGACCCGAATAGAAAAAAAAGGCAAAGGAAGGGAGGATTTGTCCCCTCTGCCTGACCGCTGGCGCCGGGCCATCCATCATCTCCCGTCCTCGGACTCGGCCTTACAGCGTCGGCCCTCCTGGGTCTCGACAGCCTGCAGATGGTACATCCTGGGACCTCTCAGGGTCCGTAATCATGTGAGCCAAATGCTCGCAATAAATCTCTTTCTGTCTATCTGTCTTTACACCCTTATAGATCCTCTAGGCTCTGTTTCTCTGGAGAGCCCCGACTAATGCAAGCTCCCAGGAGGGTCTTCCCGGCACCCCTTTCTTTGCTTCAAAACCCCATTGCTTCCTGGGGTAGGGCAGGTGGGGAGGTGGGCGCTGGGCCTGGCTGGGTAGTCAGAAGGAGGGGCTGGGGGCTGCTCTGGAAAGTCCCGGGGCCTCCTGGCTGTCTCCTCCAGTCCCTCTCCCCGCCCCCACCTGATCAGCTGGGTGGCCGTGCTATTTTAAGATGCTCCCCACCCCCCCTTCCTTCCTTGCCGTGTCAGGAGCCCACTTCCTGATTGGGTCTCAGACTTCCCCCTCGGGGTGGGGCAAAGACAGATTCGCCTGTTGGGGTGTTTCTCTACCAGCCCCAGGTGCCCAGCCCCCAATTTGGGCCTCCCTGCCCCTTCCTCAAACCAGGACTGGCCACATAATGTGCAGATCCCCATTCAAAATGAAAGTACGGGGCCCCTCGTTCAAACATGATTAGGAATTTCAAGACGGTGGTCACAGAGCAGTAAGTCATGCTCGGGGCCCCTCTGAGCTGGGGCCCTGGGGCTGGCCCGGTGGTGTAGTGGTTAAGCTTGTGCACTCTGCTTCGGCGACCTGGGGTTTGGATCCCGGGCATGGACCTACACACTGCTCATCGAGCCATGCTGTGGCAGCGTCCCACATACAAAATAGAGGAAGATGGGCACAGGTGTTAGCTCAGGGCCAATCTTCCTCAAGCAAAAAGAGGAAGATGGGCAACAGGTGTTAGCTCAGGACCAATCTTCCTCATAAAAAAATCCCCAAAACAAAAAACACCGAGCTGGGTCCCTGGGTGTGTGCGCAGGTCTCAGCCCAGGAAGCTGGCACTGCCCTAAGCTTGGAGCCCTGCCCCCTGCCTTGTCGTTTCATACACTCGTGCTTATTTATTTTATTGTGGTAAAATACACATAATGTAAAACTCAAAATCCTCACCATTTTTCAGGGCACAGCTCAGCGACATGAAGCACATTCACATTGCTGTGCAACCATCCCCTCCATCCGTCTCCAGAACTTTCTATCTCCCCAAACTGAAGCTCTGTCCCCAGGAAACACTGACTCCCGCCCCTCCCCCAGCCCCTGGCCCCCCATCCACTTTCTGTCTCTGTGGATGTGGCTCCTCTGGGGACCTCCTGTGAGTGGACCACACAGTGTGTGTCCTGTGTCTGGCTCATGTCACGAGCATCACGTCCTCCAGGTCGGTCCACATTGGAGCAGGCATCAGGATCTCCTTCCTTTTCAAGGCTGCGTAATATTCCCTTGTCTGAATGGAACATGCTGTGTTTATCCAGTCATTCGCCTATGGACGAACCTTTTGGCTATTGTGAATAACGCTGCTGTGCACATTTACGTACAAGTACCTATTTAAGGCCCTGCTTTCAATTCTTTTGGGTCTATACAGAGATAGACGCATCAGCATTAATTTTTAATAGCCAGTCTTCTTTTCGCCATCTAGTTTTATTTCAGCTTCTGGCTGATCATAACAGTGAAACACACCCTTTGCCAAGTAAAACTATCACTAAGTCAGAAAACACATCAAAGCGTGAAGGGAGAAAAATCACCCATAGTCTCACCTGCCAGGTCACTTCCCGTTCCTGTTGTGGCGTGTTTTTCTCAGCGGGGGGACCAATGATCGCTTTGTTTCCCAGATGCAGCTTTCTGAACCTTCTCATTAGAATTCTCTGCTTCCAGGAACCTTCCCCGAAGGTCCCCGTCCAGGAGGGTGAAACACCCCATGTGCATTGCTGTGGCTGGAAGCAACCTACGTGCCCATCAAGAGGGGACTGAATGTACATGAGGTGGGCCAGCCCTGGGGGTTGCATGGGAGGATCACAAGACGAGCCGAGGCAGAAGAAGTGAACATCTGTGCAGTTTTATTGAAAGCTGCTGTGTGTGTTAAAAAAAAAAAAAAACAGTGAAAAAGTCGGGGTGATCTCTTTGCACCTGCTCACAGGCGCACACGGATGCAAGCTGAATGAATTCTCAGCGCTGAATGAGGAGCTATTGGGAGGATTGGCTGCCTTAGGATGGGGTCACCTGTTTCCTGGGAAGAGGCTTGGGAGAGAGACATTCTGTGCACAGCCTTTTAGACACTTTGTTTGTTTGTTTTTTGCTGAGGAAGATTGGCCCTGAACTAACATCTATGCCAATCTTCCTCTATTTCGTATGTGGGGTGCTGCCACAGAGTGGCTTGATAGGCGGTGTGCAGGTCTGCGGCTGGGATCTGAGTTCACAAACCTGTGAACACGGGGCCGCTGAAGCAGATCGTGGGAACTTAATGACGACACCACCAGGCCGGCCTCTGGTAGACGCTTTGAATTTTGAGCTGTGCAAATATATTTCCTGTGAAAACATAAATAAAAGTAAAACTATTTGAAAAAACAAGACAAAACCAACAGCCTGGTATTGGTCCCTGTACCTGGGGGCCGCATTTTTTTCATCAAGGGTTGACCTTAATCTTTTTATCCAGTCGGCTCTTGCTACACCTTGAAGACGCTTTTGTTTTCACTACTATACGTAACGCCGGGATGGACAGCCACGGACAGAACTTGCTGTTTTCATCTCATATTATTTACTTAGATCCTTAGAAAGCGAATTCTCCCTCCCTCTCCCCTCCCTCCTTCCCTTCCTTCCTACCTTCCTTCCTTCCATCAACATTTCTTGAGCACCTACTGAATGCTAAGCCCTGAGCTGGGCACTGGGGACACACAGGGGACAAAGCTGACACTGACCCCTTTCCTGGTGGAGCTCACCATCTCGACCTGTGCTGTCTAGAACCTTCTAGGTGACAGACCTGTTCTCCACCTGTGTGTGGCTCTTGAGCACTTGAAATAAGGCCACTGCAATGGAAGAAGTGACATTTAAATGTTCTTGACTGTTCATCAATTCGTTTAGATTTAAATAGCCACCTGGGGCTAGTGGCTTCCGTATTGGACAGGGAGGGGCTGGCATTCCTGGCTCCAGGGTGGAAGCGTTTTTAAAGACCACGGATTCCTGTGGCCAAGTGATTTTTTCCAGACGGGTTGAGTGTCTCAGGTCAGGAATGAAGGAAAATCACAGTGTCGGGATGGCCTGAGGGCGGTGCTGGGAGGTCCCCCAAAGCTCATACAGCTTCCCTCCACCCTAGCAAAAACGCAGGGCCATGAACTGGGGAATTATTCGCACCCCATGTGTTACACACCCACAGATTCCTCAGACAGCAGGGGGCAGCCGGGAATATGGTGGACAAGAGTCTGGGTCCCTGCTGTGAGGAGCTCATGGGATACAGGGAAGACAGGTGATAAACCAGGAAACAACTCAGTAAAGTGATGGCAGGTGGCAAGTTTTATGATGGAGATAAAGAGGGCAATGGGACTGTTGTGCCCACCGTAGGGACTTTGGCTGGGGGTGGTCAGGGAAGGCCCTCTGAGGAGGTGATGTCTGAGTGGACACCTGAAGATGAGGAGGTACTGGCCATGTGTCTCTGGGGGTGGGGCACTCCAGGCAGGAGGCATAGCTTGTGCAAAGGCCCTGGGGTAGGAACAAATCTGGCAAGGCCAGTGTGGCTGAAGCAGAGAGAGCAAGGGAAAATGGGGTGGGAGGTCACCCAGGACCTTTCGGAAGGGGTGGCTGTCCTTCTGAGACCCTGGGAGGTTTACAGCTGTCCCTTTATCTGTTGCAATGTGACATTTGGCTGGGAATTGAGCCTCATCCCTACCTCCTGGGCCCACTCCCCCTTCACCGTGTCTGCCAGTATTCCCCTCGGGGCATGTAGGTCAGGTGGAGCTGGCCTTTCTGGTGCCCTTCCAGCCCAGGGGGAGAGGGGCTGGAGGAAGGAAGGAGACTGCAGAGAAGCTTACCCCGCCCTCCTTCCCTCCGCTCCCAAAGAAGTCACAAAGAAATTGGCAGGAGCCTGGCCTGGTTGTGACCTTTGGACCCCAGGAGAACTTGAGCTGACGCTGGGAGCCTTCAGGGGGGCAGCTGAGGCAGGGGGGCTCCGGGGCACCCCTCGACAGCCCCCTGGCACACAGCTGGGGGAGGTGGCAGCTGGGGGAGGTGGCAGCTGAGCCCTGGGCAGGAGGCCAGTGGAAGCCGGCTGGAAACCACCCCTTGGCGGTCTCCATTCCTGAGACTGAGTCCTGTCTTGGCAGCTGACCCAGGAATGGGGGCCCTAGGGGAGGGCTGGCCGGGAAGGCCAGAGCCTCAGGCTTCTCTCTGTAAAGGAAGCTAAGATTAGAGTCCCTGGCAAGGACAGGGGGCTGGGGCTGCCTGCAGGGGGTGGGGGATTTCGAGCTGTAAAATGTGAAAGGTACTTGCCTGGAAGGGCAAGCCTGGCTAACAAATTTACAATCCTGCCTCCAGGCTGGACCCTATTGGCCTCTGCAGTTTTCCTGCCTGTGTCCCTGTCACCTGCTCAGAGACTCACCCTGACACCCTGGCAAAGAGCTTCCCTGGTCATCTTCGGCCACACTCCCATTTTGCTCTTAGCCCTCATCCTCATCCATCTCCTCTCCTTCGTGGTATGATGCTCCGCCTCCCTCCTTGCAGTGTGAGCTGAGCCTGCGGGACCAGGGTGAGGAGCGCCGGGCACTCGCCTCGGGCACAACATTTAAGGGACGGCGGGGCAGGGGGCGGGGGGAACCCAGCTACCAAGATTCATAATATTTAACGCAATATAAAAAAAGCAGAAACGAATGCAAAAGAATCCGCGATGAACAAAACATCAAGATTTTAAATAAAGGCAGGATCCGATCCTGCACTTACTTGCACGACCTTGTCCCCCGCCCCTCACCGTCGTCAGGATCCTGGTTCCAGTAAGACTTTTTTTGGTTTTTGGTTTTTTACTAGTGCATTAACATATTCCTTAGGTCGATGACTGAGTTTTTCGGCGCCTCTGTAAATATTGTTTCCGGGGCGAGTGCCTCAGTCGCCTCACCCTAATCCCAGTCCTGGAAGGAGCGAAAGAAAAAATGAATGATGCTGTCTCCGCTGAAAACCGAGGCTGGAAACTCGGGCCCCGCCCACTCCGCCAGGACACGCCCACCCACGATGGCCACGCCCACCCAACCCCGCCCCTCTGCTCCACCAGCGGATAAAAGCCCCGCCCACAATCCTGGCCCCACCAACCACAAATCGGCCCTGGTCCCACGCTCGGCCACGCCCCCTTACAGGCCCCGCCCCCTGACGCGCGCCGCGCCGGCGCCGGGTCCCCAGTCCCTCCGGCCCCCAACGCGCGCCCGCGCGTCACTTCCGGGGCGGTGGCGGGAGCGAGGCTGACTTCCGCCCGCAGGGGAGCGGCGGCGGCGGCGGCGGCGGCGGCGGCGCAGGAGGCCGGGCCCGGGCGCCGAGGGACGGACGGACGCACGGGCGGGCGGCCGGGAGCCATGGAGCGCGGCCCCGGGGCCGAGGGGCGCGAGCCGCGGCGGTGAGTGCCGGGCAGGGGCGAGCGCGGCGGCGCGGGGCGGCCTCGGTGCCGCCACGGCCGTTTGGGGAGCCGGGCCGGGCCTCGAGGCCAGGGCAGCCGGGTCGGACGCCCCCGAGACCCCGCACTCCCGGCCGGGGGGCCCCGGACGGGGGTGCTGGGAGCGCGGGCCAGCGTCCCCGGCTCCGGCAGAGCCGTGTTCCCGTCCATGCAGCCTTCTAACGTGGGGTGGGTGCCCACCCTCCTGGGGACGCGCCCCCGCCTCGGGGAGCCCGCCGTCCGACCGCGGACGCGACCCCCGCGCCCGCCGCAGCATGCTATAGCCGAGCCCTGCTTCTTAAACGTCTCCCAGCCGCCTCTGCCCCTTCTCAGGCGTCCTCCCGCCCGCTGGGATCCCGGGGCAGGCTTCCCGGCCTCTGCTCCAGCCCGATTTCCAGGCCGGGGACATCCCATGGCCTCTAACCCATGGTGTCCACCCCCGGCCCGGGAGTCCCCGTGTCCCCCAGGATGAAGTCCAAACTCTGCAGCAGGGCTCACGGGCGCGGCCCGACCCGGCCCGGGCTCCCTCTGGGACCCCCGCTGCTCCCCTCTTCCTCCCGGTGTCCCCTCTAGCTGGGGACCCGCAGTTCCTGGACTGCTCTGTCTGTCTGTCACCTCTGGGGTTTTGCCCATGCTCTCCGCTTTGCTCTGTCCCCTGGCCATTGTCCCTGCACCTCTCAGACTGCACCTTCTTCCCAGCCGCTTTCCCACCCCGGCTGGCTGGGTGAGGTGCCATCACAGTCGTCCGTATTTAGGTCGTCTTAGAGTATTGCAACTGCCTGGTTCCTTGTTTGTTTTTATAACACCGCCAGCCCGCACGGCGCCTAGCAGAGTGCCCAGTATGTGCTTGTGGACGGAGCCCCTGGGACTCCGGGTGCCACTGGTGTGTGCCTAGTGAGCGAGGCGTCTGGGGTGTGCACTGTCTGGTCCAAGGCCCGGTTCTGGGGGCACACTCGGTGACACCCGTAAATGACAGTGGGAGGTCCCAGGTGCGTGTGGCCCAAGAAGAGGCTGTCCCCCTTCCCTGTCACACCTGGCAGACTGTGGCTTCCATCTTTCGTCTTTTTCCCTTGTCGTTCACCCGTTTGTTCAGCAAGTGTTTGTTGAGCGAGAACAGATAGTGGTCCTGCTCTCATGGAGTTTCTCTTTGTTTGGAGGGGAGGTATGGTTGAGCTTGTAAATACAGGCTGTGATGAGTGCTGTGGAGATGGACCTGGAACCGGGAGAGTGTGTGTGGGGCACCTGACCCGCTTTGGGGGGCCCTCTCCAAGGGCGCTGGAAGGGACATCTGAAGGGTGGACAGGACAAGGGGCAAGGACCATCTGGTGAGGTGGAGGAGGGGGTTCCTGGCAGGGGAACTGCATGGGCTCTGGTGCTGAGGCAGGAGGGCGCAGTGCGGCTCGTCTGGGGAGAGCGAGGGGAGTGGGGGACAGGATGAGTGAGGCTGGCCCTGGGGGGGACTGCTGGCCCAGCAGGCTGTGGCGAGGGATTTGATCTCCATCCTGAAGGTAGTGGGAGGCCACTGGGGCACCCCACAGGGGAGGTGGGTGATCAGACTTGTGTTGTGAAAAGGTCCTTCGGCTGCTGGGGGGAGAATGTCCTGGAATGGGATGATGGTGGCCAAGGGGACTAACAAGGAAGGAGCCTGCCACCGCGGTCTAGGTGAGAGGTGACAGAGGCGGGGACCAGGTGTTGGCAGGAGAGAGAGAGGTAGAGCCAGCAGGCCCTCGTGATGGGTGGATCAGGGTGGAGGAAGGAGGCAAGGACGACATCCGGGTTTCTGGCTTGGTCAGTGGGGCTTGTCCACCTTGGTGTGCCCCTCATCCTCCAGGGTGCTAGGGGCCTCCCCCCTGTCCGCTGGCTCCCAGCCAGGCGTCCCTCTCACAACTGAGCTTCACGGGGCTGCCCGAACTCCAGACCCTCCAAGCTCCCCTAGCTCCCCCCAGCGGAGCGTCGCCTGTTGGGGCCTGGACCGCTTTGAGAATCTACTGGAGCAGTCTCGGTTCGGTTGACACTTGGGGACAGATAATTCTTTCTTGGAGGGGGCATCCTGGGCGCTGTGGGGGGTTGAGCCCCATCCCTGGCCTCCACCCTCTGCATGCCAGTGGCTCCCTTCCCCAGTCATCACAACCAGAAATGTCTCCAGGCTTCGGCAGGTGTCTCGTGGCAAACTCCCCTGTGTGTGACAGCGGGTGTGACGGACTCTCCCCTCTGAAAACTCCCTGCCTAGAAAGCGTGCACCTGGCCGGGGGCTCGGGGATGCCTAGAAGCTGTCGGCATCCCCACCTTGCCTTTGGCCACTCTCTGCCACTCCCCGCCGCGTGCCCCGAATCCCAGTGCCTGCGGGATGTGGCCCTCCAGCCCTCGGGCTCAGATCCCAGGTCCGGAGGGAGCAGGTGTGTTTCTGGGCCTCGGACTGCTCTGAATCCACGCGTCCCTGGCCCAGCGCTGTTCAAACGCTCTGGCCCCAAAACTGAACAAGGTGCCCTGCTGCTCAGACGGCGCTGCACACGCGCGCGTGTGTGTGTGTGTGTGTGTCTCCTCTGCCGGTTCCAGGCCGTGGGGAGAAGGCAGTGAGCGCACGGGTTCTTCTCAAACCTTTGAGTCCCTTCCAGCCTCTCCGTTGGCAGCTCGGATCCACTGTCGTTGCTTTAGCAGTTTAGCTGCCGTCTGTTTAACACAACACTTCACGGCGTCCTGCCAAATGGAAGAACGTTTGTGTTCCACTCTGAGCCGTGCCCCCGCCCACCACTAAGCCCCTCGTCCCATTTACTCCTCTCTCAGGTGGGTGGTGTCTGTGGTGGGAGATGAGCCCCTGGCCCAAGGTCACAGACCCCTGCACTGGCAGAGCTGGAGAAGGAGCCCGGCTCCTGTGGCCCCCTGTCCCTCGGCAGGCTGACCCCCCAGCCTGGCCCCAAGCACAGGGGCCGCCATTGTGCCCGCTCAGTAGGCCTTCCGAGCCCCGAGATGTATCCTGCTTTTGTTCCCCGAGCCTTTGTTTGTTGTATTTCCTCCATCTGGGCTCCTCTGTCTCTGGACATCACAGTCCTGCCCTCTTGGGCCCCTCCCATTGGGCAGCAGCCTGTCCTTGCCTCGGCTGCTCCGTGTTACCTGTGGGTGGTGGATGAATCCTTGAAGGATAGCACGGAGATGGGCCAGCTGTGTGGCCAGAGGCATGGGGGTGACAGGGTTTCCCTGGGCCTGGAGCAGGGGCTGTGGGAGGAGAGCTGGGGTGGACCAGCAGTCTGATCGCCAGCACCGCCTGCGGGCCGAGGCTGGCCTGACAAATGGGCTTAACTGGCAAGAGCTGGTGACTGCAAGCTGTGGAAGGGTGGTGGCAGGCGGGGTCCTGGTCAGCTTTGGGTCCCACTGAGGTCCCTCGGGAGGTGTGTGGTCCCCGTGGAGAGTGGGCTTGGCCCGCGGGTCCATGGGGGCAGTGGGTGGAACTCTCTGGGCAGGAGAGGGTGGGCTGGACTGAGGGGAAGGCCAGGAGGCTCAGCATGGACGAGGTTGGGTCCCCCACCTCCCGGTGGTGCCCCCAGGACCCCGTATCTGCTGTCCCCTGTAGGGTTTTCCTCTGCACGACGTGGAGACACGAGGCTGTGAGGCTCCCGAGGGCTCGGCTTGGACCGCGATGGGGCTGGGCTGCCGCCTCCTAACGGGGTTCTCGTCTGGGGCGGTGGCCGGGGGTCGCCCTCCCCCCTGCCCACGTCTCGGAGCACCCCCACTCCTGCCCTGCCGGGTGCGGCCCGCCCCGGGGCGCGGCGCCCGCCATGAACGGCCTGTCGGTGACCGAGCTCTGCTGCCTCTTCTGCTGCCCGCCTTGCCCTGGCCGCATTGCCGCCAAGCTCGCCTTCCTGCCACCGGAGCCCACCTACTCACTGGTGCCCGAGCCCGAGCCGGGGCCCGGCGGGGCTGGGGCGGCCCCCTCGGGGACCCTGCGGTCGTCTGCTGGCACCCCGGGGCGCTGGAAGCTGCACCTGATGGAGCGCGCTGACTTCCAGTACAGCCAGCGCGAGCTGGACACCATCGAGGTCTTCCTGACCAAGAGCAGCCGCGGCAACCGCATCTCCTGCATGTACGTGCGCTGCGTGCCCGGCGCCAGGTGAGCCTCGCCGACACGACCCGGAGCGCGGAAGGACCAGGGGGACCTGGAGGGGGCGGTGCAGGTGCCCTGCAGATTGTCCTCCGTCTGCCCCTGCTCGCCGTGGCACTGCCCTGGCCCCTGATGCCGGGCATCCTGCACAGGAGGACCCCATGGCTCACGGAGGTGGCTCCTGGTGGCTTCAGGGTCTTGGTGCTCACCTGCCCAGGGACGGTCTGTGGGTGCTTGGGGCCTGGTACCTGAGGCCTGGCCAGCAGCTCAGGCCAAGTCTGAACCCCTGGAAACAGGTACCCTGGGCCTGGGACAGGCAGAGCCCTTCCCTGAGCCCCACGGTGGGCAGAGGTGGGGCCTTCCAGGGGCTTCTGCCTTCAGACCAGGCGGGGTTCTGCCTCCAGGCTGAGTCCAGAGGGCGAACCCTACCTTTTGGCGGGGTGGGGCAGGAGGAGGA